CGAGCGAACTATGCCTCGTAGTTCAACGTTAACTCGCGCGTATTTCGCTCATTTTAATAAATATCCTTCGAAAAGGACGTGACCCTGGAATTAAAAATAATATCGTCTTGAAGGCTCGGAAGAAACACGGTTTTTTCCACGGATTTTTTCTGTTCCTTTCCCAAGGACAGAAAAATTCGTTTGAAAAATTCATACGCGTGTTCAGTTAGAAGCTGTCATATTTATTTCTTTTTGTAAAGAAGATAATTGCGTGTACTTATCTGACGTTAAATGAAGATAATATGTTAAACATTAAGCATATTACCTTCAAAGAATAACAATCGAATATATTGTGGACAAATATGTAATATATAATATATATTTATATATATATGTACATGTATTGTATACACATGTGTATAAATTGTGTGTATATATGTATATATATCATGTATTATCACATATTTGTTTACAATATGTTCAGTTGTAATTCTTTAAAGGTAATATGTTATTGTTTAATATATAACCTATTTATTTAACTTAAGTTAAATGTACGCAAATACACTTTTTTACAGGAAAAGAAAATATAGCAAGTTTTAACCGAACACGCGTGAATTTTTCTAAACGAATTTCTCTACCTTTTGAAAAAAAAAAATCCGCAGAAAAATTGAAAAAAAATCGGCTCTTTTAACTATAAAAAGTAAGCCGATTATCGAAGGTGAATAAAACATATTTTGTGTTGAAGCATCGATCGGGAAAAACTCGTCGATGATTAACAACCGGCAGCATTCTTTGTAAACTTTATATTTTTTTTCACGCGTATTTCTTTATTCAGAAAGGATATTTGTCCGATGTTTTTTTGTGATGGTTTAATAAAACCATCACACACTGACGTGTTCGTTCCTACATTCGACAAATCGTGTTCTCGCTGCATCCAAAACCCGTCGCATTAAACTTCGGTGCGTTCAGGCTTGCGCGTTCAAGGTCGTAGGATTATATGCAGCACGCATGCACACGTGGCTCTCCGCGCGCGCGTATTTTTCTCTTTTTTTCTCTCTCCCTCTCTCTCTCTCTCTCTCCCCTGCGCGCTCGCCCTTCATGAGAGAAACCGGAGTACACGATGAAATTGCCTGAGGGGGTGGAATTTAATTCGCGAGCATGCGCCGCATCTATGGGGGAATCATCGGTGGGGTTGCCACCACCCTGCCGCCACCACGTTGCCTGATGTTATTGATCAGGGGCCTCTTCTCTCGTTCCTACGAAATGGCTAAAATATATCGCATCGTGGGACACGGCAGATCACGCCCTACCCTTTTTCCCTCTCGCTCTCTTTCATTCTCTCTTCGTTCTTGCCCTTCGCGCAAAAATTCCGTGCTGCGCGACAACCAAGTTACCGTCGTAGTGCGCGCGAATCGTATCGCAAATTGCAAAGCGTATTAATCGTGAAACGTTAGGAGTAATTTACGGTGGCAGCTTTTACATGACGTAAATAACGTTGCATGCGCGATAGCGATCGAGTCAGCAGCAGGAACAACGTGGATGGTACCTCGGAATCTCCACACGAGCTGGAAAATAAATTAAGATAATAAAATGATGCAACTTGTGCCGCATTAAGCGAGCCATATTTTTTTAACGTCGCAAGTAATTCAGGTATTTATAGGTGATATTTAGGTTGGTATTCATACCCGTCGTCCACAATCTTGCTTTAAGATGTAATCAAATTGACCAACCACGGTCGTTCATTAGAAAAATAATTGATTGTGGTTGGTCAATTTGCTTATTGCTTACGTCTTAAAGCAAGATTGCGGATAAGTGGATAGTCAGATCTTATATTTAAGATTGTCTTAAAATTCGTCTTCAGATACTTTGCAGCCAATGAAACGATCCGTGACCTAAAGATGAACTTGAGACGATCTCAACACCAGAATCGCGGCTTATTTTTTACCTACTCCTCTTTCCCAATTCTGTGGTTTTTTATCACTGGAAAATCATTATAAAACAGTTAAACAATATCATAAAGTTCAAAAAAATTTACAGATAACTACACAGATAACTACAAAAAGGTAGATCAAAAGTGATTTTATTGTTGAATAAACACAGATAAAATATTATGTAGATTTTTATAAATTAATAATAATAATAATAAATAATTTGTAGTAAAAATTATTATGAAAATTTGTAACGTTGGAATGTACTGGGAATTATTATCGAAATTACTATGTGCGTTGTAATCTTTAGTGACGTATATTCATACGAGGGCAGTCCGATAAGTACTTAGCCTACAAAAGAAAAACGAAAATTTTGGAAAAGTGGCGATTTATTTCTCAACATAGTCTCCTTTTAGCTCGATACACTTAACCCAGCGATGCTCCAACTTCTTTAACCCATCTGAAAAATACGTTTTCTCGAAGTCTGCAAAGTAGGCCTCCGTGGCGGCGATGACCTCCTCATTCGGCCAAATTGATCGAATTGGACTACGAACTGCTGCCCCATCCACCGCATTCTCCAGATTTGGCCCCGTGCAACTTTTTTTTGTTTCCAAACTTGAAAAAGTCACTCGCCGGGCAGAAATTTGAGTCGAATGAGGAGGTCATCGCCGCCACGGAGGCCTTTGCAGACTTCGAGAAAACGTATTTTTCAGATGGATTAAAGAAGTTGGAGCATCGCTGGGTCAAGTGTATCGAAAAGCTAAAAGGAGACTATGTTGAGAAATAAATCGCCACTTTTCCAAAATTTTCGTTTTTCTTATGTAGGCTAAGTACTTATCGGACCGCCCTCGTATGTTCACTAAAGGTTACAACACACGCAATAGTTTCGATAATAATGCTGGTATATTCAAGCGTTACGAACTTTTGTAGTAACTTTTACTACAATATCTTCTTCCTAAGATCTGACTACGAATGATCGGCTTGATCTCTCAAAACTTCCTCGACTTTTATCCCTAATATCGGTTCTGTGAATTATTACACTAATGCAAAGTGACACAACTCGTGCACACTTGCTTTCATTTTGCGGCCACCTGGTAGTTCTGCATCGCAACTATCGACAGGTCTAAAATACACACCATTTATCCTTCGCGTTCTCGCACACGCGATATTACGGCAGGCAGTTTTTGCAATCAAGCGTGACGTACAAAGCGGCTTATTGACGTTTCATAGGTTTACACGCGCTCGCAGAAATCCGACGCGTTAATCTCGCGCGCGAGATTCCATCGGGGCTACTCGCACACGGCTAACCGAGAAGTCGAGTCCGACTTTCGTCCGCGACTCTCCACTTATATCTATTAAGTATCCCCTCGTCGAATGAGATTGTTATCTACCTAATAATAATAAGGGTCCGCTTCGTTAATGAAATGCGTGGTGATTGCTAAAGAGGAGAAGCCGGGATGCCGTCTGATTAGTTAGACACGCGGAGAGTCCTCGTGCGATACACAACGGCGTAAGAAGCAGTGAAAGGAAGGACTTGGTCGATTAGATACACCCGAAGAAAGTTCCTTAGTAATCCCTCGCGTAAAACATAGCGGTATAAGGAATCGTTAATGTATGGTGTAAAATATCCACGAAGGAAGTCGCCATCGACGGGCAGACGCTCTTTGATGATTTATTAAAGCGTTGAGAATATCGTAATTCGAGGAGGATTGATCTCGAATAATCACGAGAGTCATCATTGATAGGAACAGTCGATGGATAACATTTCATGGATATATCATTGAGAATAATTCCTCATCAATAGGTTGTAAAGCTCAGCGTCGTATTTTCAGTGACGCATCAGGGGACCCACTCGTAAATTTAATATTTGTCGAGCAAAGTTGCGTTCTTATACATTTATTTCGTTACTTGAATAATAAATATTAATTTGAAACGAAAAGTTGAAATAAATATATATACAAAATATTGTAAATATGAGAATATTGTCGTTTTTATTTTTCTTATTAATGCTACATTTGTCCATCTTTATTTTGCTTTATTTTGTAGTATTATTATGTAATTTTTCGTTTGTAATATTATTACGTAAATTTTATAGGGCAAGACGGTACTATCAGTTGCATAACTGTTATCTCGCCTTTTGAGTCGCTATCACTTTTATACATATTTTCTCACACACATATTGCTCGTATTGCGCGTCCAGTAAAGTATTATTTTTATATTTATACGTCAGTTGACCTAATAGAAATTCAGAAATAACAGAGAGATATATAAATACTTAAATATGTGCATATGCATGTATATTTTAATTATTACTGCAAATTGTTAACTTGATACCATTATATTATCAAAATAAAATGATTAATTATTCTGAAAGTCATCTATAATATCTGTACATTAGACTTTCGTATCATAATAGTATAATATTTTCGTCCAAATTTTAGTTGTGGAAGAAAATAATAAATATTAAAAGTAGAAATTAAAAGTGGCACGCTAATCCCAAAGTATACTAAAAAATATAAAAACTGTCAACTTTAATTGCAAATATCTCAGCTCTCGAAGAAGGTTCAACTTTTTTTAATTGCACGAACAAAGTTAAATAAAATTTTCCGACGTGTACGCGATGTAAGTTCCATTGCATTTTTATCAAACTCGTTTTGCTTTACAATCTCCTTAAAGGACTTGAGGAGTCACAAGGAGTCGTGGTGGACGATAATATTCTTCGCCGGCGTAGCCGCAGCACAAAACTCACGAACCGATTTCGTGTTCGGTCGAGACGTTAATAAACGATGATCATTCATCATTCAATTCGAATCGATCGCGAGACATCATTGGTAACAGTCCGGGAGCGTGCGTTTCCCCGCGATGGAAGGATCCCCGTTCGCACGGACCTCTCCCGATTAACGGGAGAAAAGAAAAGCTGCTCGGCCACGTAGACCGGAGAAAGAAGCGGTCGCTGGAGCGACGAGGAAACGTCGCCACGGGCGCGACAAAGAGGAAAGGAGAAACTAGAAAGAGAACGAGGGGGGAGCGCGAGATAAGAGGAGGGGGAGGATAGATCGTGTGAGTCAGTGATGGCGTGTACAGCAGCCAGCCAGCCAGGCCGAGCCCAGCTGTTCTTCGATCCCCTAACCTACGTCAGTTTATTTCAGCCACTAACACTGAACGCGGCGCCTCTCGGAGCAGCGCTCGCTCGCTATCTGCAGCCTCGTTAACGCGGGGCTCTCGACGAGGCTTCTCACCGCTTCGGCTCGTTCCGCTCGTCGATGACGGAAGAACCACGATCGTTCGACGACGGGGATCGGTCGTTCGCGATCAGCAGAACGAGCTGATCGTGTGCTTCTCGCGGACGGCTTCCACGTATTATCTGTGTTTATCGCACGCGACCAAGTGAGACAACGCGATACAGCGATTGCGCGTCAGTGTGTGTGTGTGTGTATGCGCGCGTCAGGTTGGTCTAATTGTGTTGAAGCGACGCGCGTGTTCTTCTCTCTCTCTTTCTCGATCGGCGAAATCCGCTTTCGGAGCAGCCGATTTTCTTTGTGCGCTCCCCTCACCGCGGTATTATTGTCGACCCGCGGGATTCTCCGTCGTCACCGATTTCCCTTTAATTGCTCTCGTCGTCTTCGCGATACGCTCTATGTACGCACGTTTCTTCAGTGGCCGATACGTGCCGCGTCCTCTTTATGTGACACAATGACATTTGCCGTGTAATTTATCTCGTTGTCGTAGATTCACTGTTGAGAAATCGCCCAAGACAAGATATTTAGAATCGTGCTTGACTACTTATCGTGCGTTTCAATGTGGCAGAATATGGTAATCTAATCTTCGCGTCGTGCATCTGTGTCGAATGACACGTGTCTCGGTGGTCTTCGGACGAATTAGAATGGAATCTCAGATTGGGATTGAATTACGGGTGGAAAATCGAACGAACGATTGATCTATCTAAGTTTTCGTCTCATCGGAAGTATAAAATAGTCCGAGCGTCGACATTTTAAATTCCACATTAAGTCTTCAAGGAAATAAAAGGGGAGAAAAGGGAAATAAATTTCTATTTGCAGTATCGAAGGAGCACAAGTGCTTCTTCAATGCTGCAAAAGGAAGTTTAGTTCTCTGGAATCTGAATTTTAGTTCTACACTAAGTCTTCAAGCAGAGAAAGTAACTTTCTCATTAACACCAAAATTACACAAATAGGAGATCTTTGAACACTTAATATAGAACTACTAAACTAGACTCAAAGTAAGACTAAGATTTCGATTGGGGAGACCCTTCCTCGTCGCGCGCGTTCTCCTCCTTCCTGTTGGCATTTCCTCCGTAGGAGAGGCGATGAATCAATAAGGAATGCCATTCACATATTCCCCAGGCATCGGTCGGGACAGAAGTTCGATTGAGTGCGTTTCCTGTCATAAGACACCGCGTTCGCAGAGAGAGAGAGAGAGAGAGAGAGGTACTCGCTGAAATCGGATAGATCCGGCGATTATTCCTGGCCGATCGGTGGAGAAAACCTCGGTGTAATCGACTTTCGAGGGAAACCGTACGCGCGCTTGTCGCGTGATACATCCGTCGTGCGCGACACGCACGTGCGCGTATTCGCGCGCGCGCCTTGCCGTCGTGGTGTGTGTTTTTGCGAAACCGGGTGCGCCGCGAGATGCCGTCGTGTGGGCCGCGCGATCGTGCAGCTGTGCGTGCGACTATAAATGGAACGCGTGCAGCCGCGAAGCATTGACACGTATATATCGCAAGGGAGAGAATCGAACCGACGATCAAAATGTTTTCGCACTTCATCGCACCCGCGCTCCGCCATAAATAGAACGGCCGGCCTCGTTGCCGCTGCAGTGCGTTCGGCAGGAATGCGCGACGCATTATTCGTTATTCGGATCTCCAGCCGAGCGGCAACGGAAGGAATCCGATTAGAACGGGAAATCTGATTAGAACCGTGCGTCTCTCCCGAGTGTCGGAGCTGAATAATGCGCGCGCTGATAACGCCTTGAATCGAAAGTGTGCACGCAGGACGACGCGGGGTTCTCCGATACTCGACGTCGTGAATTCTGTTCGAACGGACGACGTGTTCACAAATATTGCGCAATTCTCAGATGCAACGCGAGGAGAATTCAGCAGCGGCGTGCGTTTTCTCCGCGAGAGCCACGTGATTCCCGGTCGCGCCGAGCTATCGATTGTCGCATCGAGGAGGGTGGCGCGTGAATTCGAGCCGAAGAGCACCCACGCCGTCCGCCGCGTGATTAGACGCGCGCGACTAATTGCACTCGCGGAAGCTTGCTCGTTAGCTTGCTTCCGAGGCCGCGCACTTTTTGTCGAGTGGAGGAAGAGGAGAGCGTCAAGGATACTCGTGGGCCGCGGCGGTGGCTGAAATGCCAGAAGGACGTTTTGAAAATCTTTGGTTCGACGCATGCGTCCCATCGCACTCGGCGGCCGATGGAGCGCGATGGAGCCGTCATCGTCGTCCCTGAGTTGCTGCTGCTGTTAGAGGGAGAAACACGATCCGCCGTGAAAGCGCTGAAAAAGAAGGACGACGTCGTGGGGATCGACGTGGCGGACGGACGGCTGCTAATTCAGTACGGAATTTATCGTGGCGATCCTGGTGCGTCCCGAAGCGAGGAGACGACCGACCGCTCGCTCTTCTCTCGAGGTCGTCTCGATGCGATCGATAAACCGAGTGAGGGAGAGAGAGATCTTTCCGGAGCGCCACTGCGTAGAGTGTTCGCCGAGGTATAGAGGTGTTGTCGTCGATCGGTGTGACAATTTTCCAATGTACATTCAGCCGGTCAAGCGCGCGAGTGTCGACGGACGGTTCCCGAACGAGTGAATGTTCTACGAGACTGAATTCGAGACGCGTCGAGATGCCGGGCGAAAATCGTGACCAGCTGGCTAGAGGAGGAGGTGGCGGTGAAAGAGGAGGAGGAGGAAGCGTCCCAGGACGTAGAGAATCCACGAGGGGCGGCGGCGGCGAGCCGGATCCCCGCAACCGAGGACTGACCACGATGATCCCGCTTCCGCGCACCGGCCAGTTCGCGTCGGCCTCGCAGAACCAGAAGATCGTCAAGACGGAGAAAAATCGGCTGAGACTGATCATGGAGAGCCGCGGCGCCGTAGCCGCCAGCGACGTCCTTGACAAGGAGCAGCGAATCGGCATGCGGCAGGACGCATCGCAGGACAATTGGCGGGTGTCGGCGGCGGCTAACTGCTCGGCGATCGCGCGTCTCCGCGAGGAATCCGACGACACGCGTCGGGATGAAAAGGTGATGCGGGCTGTTCCAGCGAACAGAATATCAATTAGATCGACGTCGACGTCGAGCTGGAATTTCACTCTTGATCGATCACTCGTTACATTCTTCTCACATACGGTGGAGATTGTTAATTGGAGGATTTAAGGATTAAAAAAAGGGGCAAATAAGAGAAACAAACTTAACTTTGTTTGGCTCTTCGCAAGAGGAGCTTCGCTCCTCTTTGTTTATCTGTTAATTTAACATCTGCGATCTTGGAGTAACATCATAGGCCTCTCAAGCCTACATCGCGAAGAAAATTGGTAAAAATCGTGGCTTATTGCATTTTTTTTTTTAATTACTTACATTTTATTAAATTTATTGTCAACGTCTTCGTTTGTTGTCTTTGCCACCAGAAAACTATCAAGCTGATAATAGCAGTGGTCATGAAACTAGCTTTTTCTGAGTAATGGAGGAATCGAAGCGGGTTGTAGCGTCTTGTATGAAAGGAGAAGAGGGGATAAGCTTTAAGAAAATATATGTGAGGAGGCCTAACATGTCAGCGTTAAGACGTATCCTTCGTGATGGTCGACACTTTTTGACTCTAAATCGGCCGTAACACTTTCCCTCGAAACGGTGTGAAGATCGTCTTAGTATTCGGCACGCGCACTTGCCTCGAATTCCGGACATTCGAGCAATTAGAGTGATTCGAACGAGCACAGATCTCCTCACAAACAGGGCGCATCGCGACAACTCTCGAAGCACCGGCCGGATATTTACTCCCGTCGTTTTCGCATCACCGATCGGCACGCTCTGTTTTCCCTTTGCCTTTTGATATCGCGCTCTCGAGATTGTCTATGCGGGAAATGCTCGCTGATCAGTTTCGCGTTTTCTCCAACTGCGTCGTGCGAATTTCGTTTTTGTCTATTAAATTGTATTAATTGGAGATACACATTTACTGCGAATTGTAGAAAGACCAGTAAGAACCAAGCTCGATAATTGTTGGTGCGAATATATTTATTAAATTTATATGTGAGGATAAATATGTTCGACACAGTGTAAACACACGTGCCGATTTACTTGTCAGACTTCAAATGTACGCGAGGAATCTATCTTCCACGTCAAACCGATCCTGTGTCCTAATTATTAATATTAATAATTCCCCAAATTTCCACAAAGAATTGGTTAATTAATTAAGCTTTAAGTCTTTTAAATATTGCAAAAAATACTATTTTAAACATATTTATCCTCTCCTATAAAGGACGATGGGAAAAATGGCTCAGTTTTGGCCTTCGAATTGACAAGTAAAACCAATATTTTTTTTGAGCTACTAAATCTAATTCTCATCTTTAAAAAATTTTAATTTGTCGAAAAAGTATTAAAATCACGGTATATGAAGCTATTAAGCTATCTAATACCGTAAATTATTATCATTGAGTTTTACGAACGTATTCATTTGTGTTTTCCTGCTAGTAAAACAGGACAATGAGGATCTTATCTACCTTATAGCGAAACATGAGAACATGAGAACTTACTCTTAATAAGAGTGCTTCGGGAGTGTGTTCCATATTGATGCACCTTTATGATGATGCAAGATTGGTTGCCGATTGTTGGATGTTACTTCTACGTTGCCACGATAATCTGATATTTTGGTTACACCCGATTTTTTTCTAAAATTCACTTAAACGCTCAACATCTATTAGAAATCTTTCAGAATGATGTTGGTGATGTTGAGAGAGATTCTGAACAAAAATTGGTAAACAATAAATGGTTCCATTAATTTTTTATCAATGTTTTGTTTTTTCTTTCTTATGAATATATTCTTCTATATATAATATATAGATTTCCGTTCATTAAAAATATTTTACTATTATAAATAGTATTTTATTACTGGAAATTATAAGATTAACGCAAAAAATATTTTTCAGCAACAAAATCCGCTTTGTTCGAAAATAAGGCCTTCGTTTATTAATTTGTGATGTCACATATCGGTCGATTTTCAGTTAATATTGCTTATTTTATTATAATTTTATACACTTTCATTAACATACCATTCTCATAATAGCTTCTTATAATAGCTAAATTCAAATGTTCTAAAGGTCAGATTCAACAGCTTGAAAACAACAACAAAAAATTTTTATTGCTTGCTGCTCCGGAGACCAAAATCGGTCCGTTTTACCCATCGTCCTTTAATAAATACATTTGCACCAATATAATTACGCTTGGCTCTTACTGGCCTTTCTACTGGATTTTCACTTTTACCGTTCCAAATGGTCTCGTCATGCGCATGTAACTGAAACCATAATTACCGTCATTTTCAGTGCTACTTTCGCGGCATTGATATTCCAAATTAACGACTCTCCGAACTTCGATAGTCTTCTGACTTGTACAAGTCTCGTGTAAATCTCGGCGGTCCGGAACATTTCTGTCGAGAAACGTAGTGATCCATCTCGGATCGCTACTCGCATTGTCACGATAGTTCCCACGATCGAACCGACGACCAGGTCATAATGTGACGATGCGGCCTACGCCTGGAAAACACGTAACACCGGTCGCAGTCTGGATTTCTCGAACGGAAGCGCTTATTTAACGTGGTCTTAGATAACGCGCGCACAATGACAAAAAGATGCTCTCGAGCATGAAGAAGCCGCGCGCGAGCATTCGCGCGGACGTTTATGTGCGTACGTACAAACTTGTTCGTGACTAAAATACACTTCCTCGCTTGGCCGTGGTCAGAAATAAAATTCGTGTGGCTCACGGAACCGCTTTCGAGATTTCAACGTTGTCCATTATCGAGCTATAAGTCCGGATTCACAATAGGTGTATCTCCAGCCTTTTGTTCTAAATCGTTAGCATTAAATTGTGATGTAATTTCTAGCAAAAAATGTTTCCAGTACCAGACGTCGCAATTCCCAAGATTTATGTGTTATTGCGGCTTTTGGCAGCGCGGGAAACGCCTTTTGTCAGAAATCACCTTACATTTCATTGCTTAGAATAAAAGGCTAAAAACGTAGATTTTTTTATAACATTCAATATATATTTAAAATAAAATTCTAGATTGGGTTAATAAGAATTATATTAAAATAATGGGAATACAAAAATAAGATTCCTTTTATTATTTATGCATCTCTGTTAGATCAACTAAATGCACAAAAATAATTAATAAGAAAAATAAAAAATACTAAATATTTTCGTATTTCTAATATCGTGCATATATGTGTCTACCTCAAATTCATCTCAAACATTTATTATTTAGGTAGCGAAATAAATGTATACAATTTGCCAAATATTAAATTTACGAGTAGGCCCCCTTCGATGCGCCACTGAAAATACGGTACTAATGGGCAGTACATTCTTAACTTCGCTAAAAGCTTACATGAATTAGGACTAATCGTCTTTTATGCTCATTACGCTTATCATCGGATGAAATTGAAGTTATCGAATTATATTGCTGTAGTCCGACTCACTTTCCCACGAACGATTATTTCTTCCTCGAATATAATTATCGGCCTTTCGGTCAAACTGTCATCGTTTCCGATCATGGTGACACAGCGCCTTCTTCGCTTATAACAACGATACGCGAGATTAGATGCGCGATAACAACGATAATGATTCCGTGTTAGCCGGGTGAAATAAATAAAATGTGCGGAGCGCGCGCTCGCGTTGCGCCATAGTTGCGAAAGCCGGCTATCTATTCGCCGCGATCGCAATTGAATGAGTCATTTCGCCAATTACCGAGTCATTAAACTGTCGGATCCATTCCTCTTAAATGGCCCCTCTTATCGCGGTGCATCATGCGCCGCCTCGTACGTAACCGGTGTAACACCGGGCTCAATAAGACTACTCAATAAGACAATAGATTCTCTTCACCTGGTGGGTTTACCCGGTAAATCACGGACGATAACGCGAGGCCTTACCTCGTTGTCTGTCAGCCGCGGCAGACACGCCTCGCGACTTCTACGGGCGCGAACTTTTTTTTGTTTGCGTAGATGAGCGTATCTTTCCGATCTCGGAGCAAGTTTACGGTCGTCGGTTAATGAGCTCGTCGCGGGAGAGAAAGGAAACGGACGATGACGGGGTGAAAGCTAAATAAGTCTCTTTTATCTTGTCCTATTAGTTCCCGTTCTTCACCATTTAACGAGTCTCCTCCTCGGTCTCTCTCACCGTCACCGACCAATTGTTTCCGTTGTGAGGCGGGGATATCTTCTTCTTTCTCCGCGCGGGAAGCGCTTCTTGAATCGCACGTCGAATCGCCGGAATCGCGGCGAGTTTGATCAGCCTTGATAAAGGCTGAAATTTATTCAACAATTAACTCCGTATCCTCGACTGTACGGTCGACTGTCAACTGTGTAGCACCCCGCTGCTGCTTTAATTCTCAGTTATCCGCGAAATGTATATACAATTTCGGCGAACTTGAAGCGCGTCGGAGAAAACAGTGAAAGTATGTCTGTTGAGCGAACAATCGGGATGCGCGCGCTCCTGCTCGTTCGAGGGGCTGAAACACGCTTTAATTATGCACGCGAAAGGAGACTCGGAGGTTGCCTTCTTTTTACTTACTGTCGAGTTTTCTTATAAGGTTCGGGCTCATTAAGATATTCATTAAGATACCTTCGAGGGTATCTTCGAGGGGCTCAGGCTGGGCCCAGGTAGCTACCTGGAATCATTGTTTCAATCTTCTCCCTCTAAGAAAGCAGTGTTAAATCGATACTCGAAGTTGTCGAAATCATCGTACTTCCACGATGCTGATCGGCTGTTGCGTTGCTGTATCGTGGTTTGTTTCATGCGTATCGTTTGTGGCTGTTAAATCATTACGTTTTTACGAATTCTGACAATTTATCAGTTTGCGCGTTAAAGAAGATAAAAAATTAAAATATCAAGGAAGATGAGAGGAGTAGGTTTTTAGTCTGATGCTTATTTTCAATCAGACATGACTTACTTTTCCTCACTTATTTAAAGACATCTCATTTTTTTCGCTTTTTATAAAAAAATTCTCTTTTTTTTTTCATTTTTTTCTTACTCAACTTGAGACTAAAAATTCGATCACGAGAAATTATATTCAATAACTCTAGCTTCTTTAAAGACAAAACAAAAGATTCAAAGAAAATATAAAGTGGAAAATCTTTCAACGGTACAATGTCCATAAAGTGAAGAATTGTGATTTTATTTTGAAGCTATTTTTATCAGGTTTGTCAGAAAATCAAATAATGACCGACGAACACACCTGATTATGTTTTCTTTAAATTACGTAGTGGAATAGATTGTCCATCCGTTTTTGTTTGTTTACTAACGAACTCAAGAAAACAGATATTAATCGTCATAAACACACTTGATTGTGTTTTCTTCAAATTGGATATTATTTAATATTATTAAGTGTTATTTTGACGTGTTGACTAACTAGTGTCTGGTTTTAACTGAAAAACCCGTAATTTAAATATTTGTATTTATTTTAAGTTTTGTTTTTGTTTGACGAAAAAATCTGGGATATTCCAACATCTTGGAAATATATTGCAACATAGTTTAACTGAATTCAAATTTTTTTATTTTATTTTATTAAATGTGTTTGAAAACAAAAAAAAATTAATTTTATCTTTTTTATGAAGAATTTTTATAAATAATTTTTTTATAAAGAATCTTATTTTATCTGAATATATGTCTAAAACTGAATTTAAAGTAAATTTTAGCTTCTATGTATCATGTAACTTCTTTCGTTCCTCAAAATTTCGCTTTTCATTGACTTTTATAAAGTCTAGACTATAAAGTCAGTGTTTTTAATCTCTTAGAGAAATGGTATAATTAGATAAACAATTTAATTTTTAACGTATAAATTACTTGAAGAAGTCTCGCTTTTTACTTATTCTTCTTTTAAGACAGTCTCACGATTTTCTTACTTTTTCAAGAATGAAACTCAGCTTTTTTCACTATTTTTAACAGTTGGACTGCTCCCATGTCTGTTTAATTACAGGAACCGAGCAATAATAATTTGTCCGTGTAATAATAATTGGCTAAATAGCGTGCGCCTGTATTGTTCTAATCTAAATAATAAACTCAACACAATCGATAATTAACGAGCCGGTGTTTCAATATTAGCATTGTCTGATCAGAGTCGATCTCTTACCACTCTTTCGCAACGTGTACATGCACAAATTACATTTTTCCGCTTGTGAGTTGTTGTATACATACATATTTCTTCCGCGCAACTTTACATCAATGCGTGCACAGCCGAAGGCTACTCACGGTTGCTTATCTTATGTTTCTACTGTTATTATATCGCAACGTATTTTCGCAACTACGCGCTTCTCCGAGGCTTCTCGCACGTATTGAATATAAATTGTTTATCTAATTATACCATTTCTCTAAGAGATTAAAAACACTGACTTTATAGTCTAGACTTTATAAAAGTCAATGAAAAGCGAAATTTTGAGGAACGAAAGAAGTTACATGATACATAGAAGCTAAAATTTACTTTAAATTCAGTTTTAGACATATATTCAGATAAAATAAGATTCTTTATAAAAAAATTATTTATAAAAATTCTTCATAAAAAAGACAAAATTAATTTTTTTTGTTTTCAAACACATTTAATAAAATAAAATAAAAAAATTCAATACGTGCGAGAAGCCTGGAAGTTGCCGCGGAACATACAACCGCGCGATGAGATAAAGCGCCCACACATAATTGCGCAAGTAATCACATCGCGCAAGAAGCGCGCTAGTTAGCGGCGCGGTGCGACTGTAACGCGATGCTAATACACGTGCGTATCGCGGGCCATCGTCGTTTCATAATTTAATATTCAGAGTTGGTTTCGACGATAAACCCCGACTGTGCGTTCGTCGTTATTTAAATATACATTTGGATGTACGATATCGATGCAATGACGCTTATACGCCTACCTTGATTTTGAAATGTGTCTCAAGTACGCACTGCATTCCTACACAGCGTTTCTACATAGTCACACGCATGAATAATTATTTGGAATATATATGCAGTTGTTACTATGTATGTACTGCTTTTACCGGTGATAAAAAGAAAGTCGTATCATCGTTCACGGCTGATACAAGCGACGAGTTAGTCACACGAGGAGCAACGTTTAATCGAGCGATATAAACCAGTCAGGACAGAGTCGCTTAATTACGGGTGTTACGGACGTATCCGATTCCGTCGCGTAACGACTTAAATATGGTAATGAAAGTTAATTTCCTTAAATTTCCGCTCACATACACATAGACACTGGCGTTCGACATTTACATTGAATAACGAATGGCAAAAGACACCACAGATTTATGTGCAATCTGTTGACATTTTACACGGACGGAAACGTTAACGAATCGATTGATGTTCTAACGCCTTTCGTGTCGGAAAAATTTATGTTATTCGTAAGAATTATTAATATTCTGAAACCGAATAATCTCATCTTTTAATCTTTTCAATTATTCTCCCAATTTTATTCGACAATTATGACGTTTGTGGCAATCTAATACAGAAAAAGAAATTAGCATCAATTCAACTCATATTCTTATATATAAGCAAGAATATATAATATTATATTAAGATAAAGCTTGCTTTTATATACATGAAGAAACCCTATACAGTTTCACTAAAAATATCGAACTCAGGTCTTCCCCTTGTCAAGCAGCCGCCATTATCGCTGAATTATTTCTACATCCACTGAAAATATCATATTCCTGTTATTTAAGAGTAATTTTCACGAATTAAGAGAAAAAAATATTGGACTGGATATAGAAATATATAGATAAGAGGAAAAAATATTGGATTCAAGAAACTCTTCTATACATGGCTGGCTATTCTCAATAATTAGTAACTCAAAATTTTGTTTGGTTGTTTGCAAAATGATAGAGAAGAACTTTCTTATTCAGAATAGCCTAATCTTCGAGTACAAGTAGTTATATGACGGTTATTGTACCTAGCGACAGACATCAGTATATTGAATTTTGAAACTCGAACATTGGTTCTGTCACTAGATAAAACGGCCGCCATATATTCGTAAATTAGGTCACTCGGAACAAAAAAGTTTTGTATCATTTTGCAAATAGCCACGCAAATTTTCGAACTATTAATTAAGGAAACCTCTACAACCGTTTTCATAATTAATAATGAAAAGTTTCGCGTTATTTGCAAAATGATAGAGAACTTTTTTATATCGACGTAAATTACAAGCATATTACTGATGAGACACTTATCCATAAGCACTAATTTTTTTTTTTCGCGGGTACACGTCGCACCCAAATTTTTTCAGCCCCCACCCCTCACGGAACTAACGCGTGCGTCTTCTTTCCCTTTTCCAGGAGAACGCGGAGGCCTGCCGGTCGCGCGCGACGGAGAGCCGCGTGCCGTGCGGCTCGGCGGCGGGTATCGGGGTGGAAGGCGTCGCCGCCATCACCACCACCACTATCGCCGCCGCCGCGTGGGGCGGCCAGAGACGAAAGGGTGCCTCGCCACCGCCGCCCCTGAGCAGCGTCGCGGCTGTATCGCGCAGGCTGGAGTCGGCCGCTAACGCCGCGGCAGCGTCGTTCAACCCTGTCGCCGCCACGCAAAGATGCGCAAAGGGCACCATCGTCGATGCCGCCACCGCCACCACCACCACCACCACCGCGCCGAGGCCGCCGCGGATTTACCCGGCTTCTGTCATCGCGCCTGAGATCAACAAGGAAGATGCCATGGAGCCGGAGACGAAGGAGGAGGACGAGCGACGCTCGTCGACGCCGAGTCCTGAGGTAGCGTTTTTTTACCGGTCGTTGCATTCGTTGTGTGCGTGCGAGACGACGGTGCGTGTGAGAGGCGTACGACGACGCGCCTCGGCTATTTCTTGGATATTTCGTTTCCTGTTACTCGGTGAAGAGAGTATAAGTCTTTCCGCGGGGCTGATTGATCGGTAGAGTACGCGTTCCTTGGGCGCTGAAGACGCTTGTCGTGGTGGGACTCGATGCTAGTGTTTGTTGCGGATCAATTTGGTTCGTGCGCCTAGGAAAAGGGTTTGTGTGTGTGTGTGTGTGCGCGCGTGCGCGTGTGTGCGTGTGTATTGTACCGGCTCGTGCACGGAATAAAAGAGTCAGTAGCTTCCACAGCTAAAAATTAGCTACATAACACAACTGAAATTTCATTAATTTATCTAATTTTCATGTTCCTGTATACAGTTTTCAGCTGTGAGAGCTAAAAACTAGGCTAAATTTCAGTTGTATTGTACAGGGACAGAGCTAAATTTTCAGCTTCTGGGAGCTAATTCTTTTTCTATACTGATTCTTCTTTTCCGTGCATCGATGTGAATTCGAGAGCCGGCAGAAAATTACTGTCTGCTCGCGCTTTATTCAATCGAATTATTTACGGTTTGCTGTAACTTGCAGTGACGTGGCACTGCTGTGAAATCTCGGCGATATCTTCGTGAACTCCCAATCTTGCTCAATTTCGACCAATCGAGAAAATATTATTTTCAAATATCAATATAGAAATTTATTAATCTTATAATACAAATATTCATAATATATTTAATATTTTTATTATAAAATTAATAAATTTTATAATCAAAGTATTAAATGTTCCGTGAACATAAAATTCAATCGATCCCAGGAGAATCAGCACCCCAGTCCCCCCGGGAGGATCAAATTCTATCATTTGCCGTGCTTGTTTACACGATAGTTTCGCGCAACAAGAGAATTCACGAGTGTCTTACGGCACTTTCACGAACGCATTCTTGATTTTTCACGAGCCCCTCGCTGTCTCCGCTGTGAGCAAGAGGGGCGAAGGTTGAAAACCACTGCCGTACGAATTGCCTTCTGTTCGTGGCGCACGAGTATATACACCTTTACTAACGTGGCGCGTATTGATTTTACGGAGCCCTCGCCTCNCCCCCCCCCCCCCTCTCGTTCACTCTGTCCATTCTCTTCTCTCCCATTCTCTCCCCCTCTCTCCTCGCGCGCACATGTACATGCATTTCCTTTCTCCTCCCTGTCTCGTCTGTCGTTCCGACCTTTCTCTTTCGCCGGGTCTGCCCTTTAAGTCGTCACCCTCCGCGAAGCGAGTGTGCAGCATCGCTCCGAGGATTCCCCCTTCTTTCCCCCTTCTTCTCCCTTATTCAGCCGCACTTGCACACGTGTTGAAAAATTTCAGGCTCCTCGACGCTGCGGCACGTCTCTCCTCACACACGACTCGGGCACAGAAAGAATTGATGAAACGCAGATGTAGAGGAGGTCCGTTCGACACGGTCGAGTGACGCTAATGATGATGTCCGAATTAAAGTCGCATGAGCTGTCTTTTTTTATGCTTAAAGATGTCAAGAGTAGAGTTTCTTTCTCTAAGTGTACGTGTATACGATACCCATAATGATTACGATCGTCGGGATATACGGACACGCGCAGATGTTGCGAGAGAAACGGCTCGTCGATGAAGCTGCGAGCGAACACCATTTTTGCGTATCGCGCACGCGGAAGAATGAACCGTAGAAACCTTTGTGTCGCAGTTCTACGTGAGGAGGAGTAAGCGTTACAACGAGGATGGCAGCAGCGAGGAGGAAATTAAGCAGGACACCTCCCTGCCTAGCAGCCACAGGCTACCGTCTTCGTATCGCGGTACATGGCCCATCAGAAGAGACGTATGGGCCAATCAGCAGATTGGCTTTCCGGTCCAGCAGAGCACATCGCTCGCTGCACACAATGTAAGTCGAGCAATTATAACGGTGCATCATGTTGCGTGCCCATCTTTCCCGGTGTATCCCGAAATTACCACGTGCCTTTCTGCGATGCATCCTGATCGAAAGGATATCCGTTGCTTTTGGGGTGTTTCTCAGATGTCTCATCATGTGTACATCCCGATAATGCGAAATTCCACACTGAGAAAGCGAAGCAGTTGGACCGACAAAATCTGGGCAGTCACTCTTATTAGAAAAAAAATGTGTCCCCTGGACAAATCACGTGTTGACGCGATGATACATCGGGTTAATATAGTTGCTGGCCAAGTTGCAATTGAATCAATTGATGACTCACCCGCGGCAATTGTGTAATTTGTTCAATGGACTAAATGTTGTACTCAAAAAAATCTGGTTCGTTTAAGGGGCTACATAATAGCTACATAGGGCTACGTAAGATTTTTTTGTTATCTTACAGTTTTTTTTTTTTATAAACGAGCAAGTATTGACGAGAAATCGAACTTTTGACTTCGAATGTTAATAACTTCATCAAGAATTAATATTTTCAAAATTGGCTACGACAAAGATGATCTTAACAATTTTTATATTAAGAATATTGATTGCAAAACTATTGCTAAATCTGTTCAGTAATTCTCGAGATATTTTGGGTATCGATTAGCGATGACGAGCTTCACGGAAGCAGTAACAACAATAACAGCGTTGCCTATCAACTTTTTGTAATGGGCTTTATGTAATACGCATGCGAAAATATGAAGAATCATCTCTCGAAAGGACATCTTTAAAAAGTTAATAATGTGGTTAGCAGATAAACTCAAACATTAGGCGTCTTTCGAGCCGCTGGGGTACAAGTAGCCCTTTAAGCAAAATTTCGTTGATTCTACCACTTTATTTTCTCAGTGCAAAGGTCTGTCTGAAAGATGAGAAGGCGGCTTCTCACGCGCGGCTCTTCACGACTTTCGTTAGATCGCCTACTACGCGGTTCGATAGAATACAAAAATCACACGAAACGTGTATTCTATACGCACAACATAGGACGTGGCGAGCGTAATGAGCTTCTCGTCGAACTCCGCCGGTCTCGAGTGCAACTCTGTCGAGTCGCAGGGTCACCGACGACTGGGCGCCAAGGTGGACGTGGTATACAACCTGTTGGGCATGTTGGAGAAAAACGGCCGGGAAGACATGAGCACTACCCTGCTCTCCATGAGCACCTCCATAGACAGTTGCCTGGTGATGAGGCAGTCCGGATGCCTGCCGCTGTTGGTGCAGCTGATCCACGCACCCGGACAGGACCCCGACACTCGCGACAGAGCCATGCAGGCGTTGCACAACGTGGTGCACGCCAAGAGTGACGAGAGGGCCGGCCGTCGGGAAGCGCGGGTGCTCCGCTTCCTGGAACAGCTTCGAGACTATTGCCAGACTCTGAGGATATCCCTAGAGAGGGGACAATCGACGGACGACCTCGAGAGACACCCGGCCGCGACGATAGCCGCTCTCATGAAGCTCTCCTTCGACGAGGCGCACCGTCACGCGATGTGCCAATTGGGCGGCCTCCACGCAGTCGCGGAGCTCATCGAGATGGATCACCTGGCGCACGGCAGCGAGTGCGACGACCAGAACTGCATCACGTTGCGCCGATACGCCGGAATGGCACTGACCAATCTGACCTTCGGCGACGGCAACAACAAGGCCTTGCTCTGCTCCTTCAAGGAGTTCATGAAGGCCTTGGTGTCACAGCTGAGGAGCCCCAGCGACGATCTCAGACAGGTGACAGCGAGCGTGCTGCGAAATTTGTCCTGGCGCGCCGACAGCAGCAGCAAGCAGACCCTGAGGGAAGTGGGAGCGGTCACCGGTCTGATGAGAGCCGCTATGGAAGGCCGCAAGGAGTCCACTCTGAAGTCTATACTGTCCGCTCTGTGGAACCTGTCGGCGCACTGCAGCACGAATAAAGTGGACATTTGCGCGGTGGACGGCGCGCTGGCCTTCCTCGTGGACATGCTGAGCTATAAGGCGCCGTCCAAGACGCTGGCGATCGTCGAGAACGCTGGCGGTATACTAAGGAACGTGTCGAGCCACGTGGCGGTGCGAGAGGACTACAGAGCCGTCGTGAGGGAGAGGGGCTGCCTGCAGGTTCTCCTGCAGCAGCTCAGGTCGCCGAGCTTGACAGTGGTGAGCAATTCATGCGGGGCACTCTGGAATCTATCGGCGAGATGTTCACAGGATCAACGTCTTCTCTGGGACTTGGGCGCGGTGCCGATGCTGCGCAGTCTCGTTCACTCGAAGCACAAAATGATATCCATGGGCTCGAGCGCGGCCCTGAAGAACTTGCTGAGCGCCAGGCCAGGCTGCAACAGTCTCGTCCACCTGGACTCGACTGCTCGCGGCCTCGGACTCTCGACCTTGCCGAGTCTGGTCGCTCGCAGGCAGAGAGCTCTGGAGCAGGAGATAGACCAGAACCTGGCGGAGACGTGCGACAACATCGAGCCGAGCACGTCGCCGACTAACAAGGATGACAAGTTCACGTTCAAACTCGACCACAGCTTCCTCGGCATCAATGCTCACGGCCTGCGCTCCTATCACAATCAGCCCAGCACGTCGAGCGGCGGCGTGAAGTGCAACGGAGTCGCCAGGAGCGAGAGCAGGGACTCGATGCGTTCCGTCACCAGCACGCACTCCGACACCATGTTCGAGAGGGTGAATCGGCACGTTCTGAACGGCATGTCGTCGTCCACCGAGCCGCAGGTCAAACAGCAATCCTCGTCGCTGCACTCCGCCGTCGATGGCGCCGCGTCCAGCGACGGCCACGTCAAAGCCACTCTCTCCGAGAGGAAGTACACGCTGCGTTACAAGAACGCCATCCCCGAGCGTCTCAGGCCGCCCGACGACTTCGACGCGAACGAGCTAAGGTGCGCCAACTCCACCATATCATGGGCCACGGTGTCCAATCAAGAGCCCTCTCAAATCTCGTTGCACTCCTCTGTTGAGAACAACATGTCTCCGGTCGATCACAGCGTCTCGTCCAAAGCGGGCAGCCAGTCCAGCGTCTCCGAGGAAGCCGAGGCGACCGTTTGCGCCAAATCGGATTACCGGCGGGCGAAACCGACCACTCTCTACCTGCCCGAGGCTTCCTCCGCGAGAGATACCGCGAGTTTCGGCAACGTCTACACGGAGAAGGCCCTCTTACGCCAGCACGACACGCTGAACAGCATGCAGAAGGCCATATCGCCCACGATCGGTACGAACTTGTTCGGTTGCGACTACGCCGAGACTGACCTGGACCAGCCGACTGACTACAGCCTGCGCTACGGCGAGCAGACGATAGACGACGAGAAGCAGCACTCAGGATTCTTCTCGGGCAACGACCAAGGGCTCCTGCACGACACGGACACGGTTCGGACTTACTACACCGAAGGCACGCCGCGAGAGGCATCCTTGAACTCATCCAGAGCCACTTCCGCGTCCGATCTGCAGGACGATAGCCGTGTAAGGAGCTCGGCGAGAAAGTTACCGGAGCGATACGCGAGGCGCGCCGAGGAGCACGGTGAATGCCAGATGTCGTCCTTGACGGACGTGCCGAAACTGAACGACTTCGCCGAACCGGAGGTGGAGCTGAATTTGCGAGGCGCGACGCATCTCACCGACGATGAAAGCGGGAACCACTCGTTGCCATACCTCGAAGGCGACCTGGACAAGCAGGCCGGAGGCGCTCGCGAAGATACAAACATTCAAAGCCATTCGAGGTATAATAATAATAATTTGTGTGTTAATTTTTGGACACAAAAAGTAATACATAAGAAGAAAAGAGATACTCGGTGATACGGAAGTATTTTTGTGAAAGTTAAACATGTAGTTGAATGTTTCATTGAATAACTTCAGTTTAATATTTGTGATATTTTTTATTTCCTCATGTTATGACATTTTACAGCGTAAGGACAACGCCGATTTCGATGGTGCTAGGAACTTCCGAGTACAATGACGACCACGACGGGGAATCCAGTTCGAGGATCATTAATCTGGGTAAGTCCTGGCTTTCATCTGGTCGCGAGATTTGTAATTTATACTTAGAGCGTTTGTTCTAACAGTAACGTAATTTCATAGACTCGAAAGCGGAGTTTGAGCCGCAAGCTATGCTAGTGAATAACTGCAAAGTTAGTGACTTGCCGTCGAATAATATCGAGTTTCCGTCCGGCGGCAGTTTAAAGACCTCCAACAATGATTCGGGATGTAAGTGATATAGATTTCTGCAAAATACGCGTGAAAAAAGTGTCTGCTTCGATTTGATAAATGTGGACGAAATGTGTTCTAAATATTCAGATCAAGTCAGCGACGGGGACGAGGATGACGAGGATTTACTTGCTGCTTGCATCAACATTGGAATGCAAAATAACAGGTAAGGTCCTACCAAATATTATCAGCGTTGCTATCCAATCACTTAAGTCACCCTTCGTCAGTTTTCTTGACAAGTCATTAAAAAATTCATGATTTAAAATGGATTACCGTAGTTACACTTGTTTTCCTGAGCTATTGTTAAATTTGTAAAACATGGGCGTTCTGTTTATATATTTGCCGTTTCTCTCAATAAAACTGCTCCAAAAGCGATACTTGTATTGCATCATTCATGTCCTTGGTCTTTTCTTGTTACGAATTTTCAAACTGCTATATGTTAAGTTACTCAAAGATAAATCTGGAAAGGTAAGTTTCACTTTTTTGCTTAAATGGTTTGAGTTATTCTTATTTGATAAAAAAAAAAATATATATATATATAATTTTTGGCCACTATTTTGGTGTCTGAGGGGTTTTACCTTTTCTGACAAGAAGCGGTTACTATTTCATTTTTTGTCCTGGATGGCAGCGTTGCATTACCGATCGGACGATTACCGATGCAATTTTTCAAACGATGTCACAAACTTCTAATAAGATTGCTTCCTCTCGCAGGCATAGACATTCCTTCATAGGGAACAATCTCGAGAAGCTACCTCGGTCAGAAAGCAACTTGACTCGATATCAAACCAGTCTTGCTTTGGATCAAGTCGAGTATAACGAAACCGTCGAGTCTGATATCCCGTCGTTCAACATAAAGCAGGCGAAGCCGTGTGGAATAAGCGCAGTTGAAAGTGCGGAGCTGGACAACAATGTGTCGAGACGAAGCGACAAGCGGTACGAGAAGAACATCCGACTAGAGGCAGACGCGGTAAGATGGGCTCCGCTCTCACTTGTACATTAATTTTCGTTCTATTGGGTTGATGCGAAAGTTTGTTCCGTTTTATAACCAAAATGCATGTAACGTTGATTTATTTTTAAATTCAATCGATCAAGTATACGCTGTTTTGTTCGATGACCTGAATAGAATGAGCTTTCGCATCGGCTCGATAATTACATTTTCAATGCCTTCTCAAAATGTTAGCAATAGTATGCCGGCAAATTGGCAGCAGATTCGATCAAAATACCGTGGCAGACGCATAGCAATCTGAGTCCGCATTAAGCTCGTGTTCTGTCAATGAAGCCTTATTGACATAATATGACAGCAGATTGGCGGTAGAAACTGGGCAGGATCTGCAGTATCGTCCATTTAAATGCATTTAAACGGTGATGAGACGACAGATTTTCTTCAGCTTCTGCTGTCATCATTCTCTGTCAGCGGATCCCGTTATATTTCTGCTGACAAACTGTCGATAGACTCGGTAGCAGACCCTGCTTCTGCAGGTTTGGGCTATGTGTTTTATCTTAGCTTACACTTAAAATGTATCTCCGTACATGTAAATATATGTTTGCGGGTTTACTTGCAATACGTCCCTTATCTATTGAAAAAAAGGGGGGTTTTCCTCGTCTAACAAATAAGTATATGAATAAATTTGAGAGTATGCGCGCCGTACTTTCAGATGACAACGACGAACGCGAGTAACGAGTACACGCGTCACGCTGGAGAATCGAATAACACCTCGGACACAGCAGACGAAGACGGTAACATCTCATTGCGCGGTGGAGCGTTAAATACTGCAGCGTCCGATAACCCTGTGAACAGCGGCGCAAGTCAGAAGGGATCCCTCGTGCGAGCGAGCGAAGCGACAGCCGACGAGCGAATCGCCGAGGATGATCCGTCGATGAAGCAGTCGTTCACGAAGGATTCCGAGAGTAGCGAGTCGATCGATTCCGTCGAGCAGTCCGAACACGCCCTGCTGGAACTGTGCATTCAGCCGGGCGTCAAGTCCGAAAGTAACATCGCCATCCGCGAGAGGGACGTCGACTACGCGGAGCCGCCACTCGACTCGTACAGCAAGCAGCTCGACTTCATGAAGACGGGCAACGTGGTGCCAGATGAGATCTGCGAGGCCGACGGGAACGTGAGTTGCAAGCAAGAGGCGGCGAGCTTCGAGATCGTGAGGACTTCGGACATCCTGCACCGTGACAGCGCGGACAAGCACATGAAGGAGGAGACGTACAGGCGGCAGAGGGACCCGGACGCGATGATCGCATCGCTGGACCGGCTGACGGCGACCCTGGTGCAGCAGACGGAGGCGATGCGCGAGCGGGACTCCTTCAACACGATGAAGCAGAGCCTGACGCAGAGCGACACGTGGAACGAGGACTCGCCGAACGACGTGTCCTTCCCCAGCATCAGCATGAGCGCGCCGTTAGCCGCCTCGTTCAACAGCGACGCGCCGGAGGACCAGCGCACCAACGTGTCGGAGACCACGCAGGTGGAGAACAGCGAGCAGACGAGCATGACGGAGTCGAAGATTATCCAGCGGGAGGCGATCAAGCTGGCGGAAGCGGTGGACGCCGAGGTGAACAACCAGAACGACCTGGAGACGACGAGTCTCACGTCGATCGACCTTGAGGCGATCAAACCACCGTCCTCGATGGGCAGTCTGTTGTCGTTGACCGCGAGCTACGCCGGCTCGGTCGACACCAGCGAGGCATTCGTCGGTAACCGGGACCGCTGTTACTCCACGTCGCTGCCGCCGGCGCGATGTTCCTCCGACCCGCGAAACATGCGGAAGAAGTCCCTGCCGCTCGGTGTAGTGGCGAAGCGGGCGCTCGGCCAAGGCGGCCAGCACACTACCAGCCTGGAGAATCTGCTGAACGAGTGCACCAGCTCGCACCTAGAGAACGTCAAGCCGCCGTCGATGATGGACGAGTTGCCGGACGTCGGCGACATGGAGAACAGTATGCTGAGCGTGGCCAGCATCACGTCGGAAATCGCGGACTCGCGCGAACAGGACTCGCACAGTCTGACCGACCCGGTAGTGTTCGAGATGCTCAAACCGGTGGCGAACGTACTCTCCATCACGTGCATGCGCTACACCGGCGAGGGCATGCCGAGCAGCGCGAGCAACAGCCTGAGCGAGTGCCTGGAGAACATCAACCCACCGTCTCTGTTCAACGAGGTGAGCGAGATGGACGAGTCCACGGTCGAGGCGACCACCGACACCCTCTGCAGCGACACTCTCTGCATCGACACGGAGCTGCACACCGACGAGGTGGCGGTACACTCGATCGTCGCTGAGGTGATCGACGAGGCGGAGAACGACACCGACGAGGGCGCCACGCCCATCTCCTCCGAGTACTGCGTCAGCAGCTCGGCCGAGTCGACGCCGAAGAAGCGGCTGTACAAGAGCCACTTGACGCCGAAGCAGAGGCGCAGCCTGACGAAGGAGAGGTATCGTACCTACACCATCGCCGCGGAGATCGTGAAGAAGGAGGAGGAGCAGCGCAGGAAACAGGAGGGCGCCGGCGACAAGATCCCGCGTGGATCTCGCTCCCCTTTCTCGAAGCTGACGCCCAAACAACGTAGACAAGAGGACAGGGCGAGGTTCCAGACGCAGGTGCTGGAGAATCCTTTCCCGGACCTCGTGACACAGTTTAACAAAGAGGAAGCGCCGCAGCAAGCCGCCCAGGATCCCGCTGAGAAACAGGAGGCCGTGTCTCCCACCAAGTCGGCTATCCCCACGCTCACGAAGCTGCCGGTGTGCCGGAAGAAGCGCGGGGACTCGCAGGAGAGCAAAGAGCGGTATCGTACGAGGACGTTGAACGACTCGGAGGCGGTGTTCAAGGAGATGGAGTCCGTCCCACAGGCGGACCCGCAGAGTATGCTGAACACCCTGAACGGCAGGGCCAACCACTCCGTAGTCGCGGAGTCGAGTCTGCGCTGCGAGACGTTGGCGGCGAACGAGTCGGAGCAGAACCTGAGGATGCGCTTCGTGAACGGGTTGTCGAAGAAACTGATGGACGGTCAACAGGCCGACGACGAGGAGATGCAGTGCGAGAATGCGGAGGTCCTCCAGGAGGACTACCCGGCCGAGTCGGATAGCGATGAGGAGTCCAACTACGGTGACGAGGAGCGCGAGCCGAGGGAGACGAAGAGGCCGCGGATCGTCAAGCCGGGTATGCCGGCGAGGGACCCGAGCGTGGACTCCAACGCGACGGACAAGTCCGAGCCGGGCAGCCCGAAGGCCATCCGAGGGCGACGGAAGGCCTTGTACTCGAACCCGATCACGCGGAAGCCGACGCCGCAGTCGTCGCCGTTGAAGCAGGCGATCCCGGTCAGCGGCATACCTATCGGCCGCAGCAACACCTCGCCCATCGTCAGAGCCACCCGAGCCACCACTTTGAGGCAGAGCAACAGCACGGCCGTCGCCACGAAAGACTCCCCGAAGCAGACTGTGCACGACGTGGAGAAACGGACGCGCAACGCAGCGGCCATGTCGAAGAGAGCGTCGGTGCCGCAGAAGGGATCCTCCCTGACTTTCACCAAGTCCGCCAAGCGCCACAGCACGCCTCCAACGTGCTCGTCCAACTTCCCGAGCGAGGGCAAGCTGTCGGAGGCGCCGATCAAACCGTTGGAACGCCAGGGGACCTTCACGAAGGACGAGCCGGAGGTGGAGAACGCGCCGACGGTGCACTCCGCGTCCGCCTCGCCCGTGAAGACGAAAATCGCGAAGCCGGTCAGGAGCGCTGCTTCGTCAAAAGTCCATCCGGCGGCGGGCAAGTCCAAGATCTCAGTGAAGGCGCACCAGGCGTACCAGCCGAAGATTACCAAGGCCAGCAGCGTCGAGAAGGTGCAGTCTTCGAAGGGGTTGCCGGTGCCGGCGAAGAAGATGCCCTCTGGCCCTAAGTCGGGCGCGAAAGCGTTGTCAAACAACGCGACGGCGAATGACAACGGGGGAAAGCGCAAGGTGGGCCCGCTCGGGCAACGGTCCAACAGCAACTCCAGCATTGTGTCGAGCGCGTCGGCGGGCGTGCAGAGTCGCGCGAAGCTGGCGAAGGAGGCGACCAGCAAGATCGCCGGGCTCTGGAAGAAGGTCGAGGAAAGCAAGAACAAGCAGCGCCTCGAGAAGCCGGACACTAGGCAATGGATCAGACCGGCCAACAGCGCGACCGAAGTCGACGGCTCGGCGGTCGGCAACAACCAGCCGTTCCGGCTGTTCCGCAGCTCCACATTTGAGGGGATCTCGCAGGAGGACAACGGCGGCGGGACCTCGCCGTACAAGTCCAAGTCCAAGCGGCCGCCGGTGTTGGGCTCGCAGCCGCCCGGCGGCGTCAAGTACAGGAACTCCTGCGACTTGACCGGCATGAACGCGAGCGAAGCGCCCTGCAAGATCCCAGTCAAGTCGTCGTCCGAGTCGTACAAGAAGGAGACCACGCAGCTGGGTGACGCCCTGGTGACCCTTAGGAAGCAGCAGAGTGCTGCGGAATTCGCGGCCGACGCGACGGATCCGAGCAAGAGGATATCGAGGCTCGGCTCGTTCATCCGGGTGGACCCGGCCGCGGAGAACAACGGGGCCGTGCGAGTGCCAGCCTCGGCGATCGTGCCGCCCTTCAATTACAATCCGAAGCCAGACATTCCATCGCAGACGCAGATTAGAGCTAGAGCGGGCCCGGACGAGAGCCAGGGCAAATTCGAGGCGTCGGATTGCCGCGCGGACATAGTCACCGGCTCCGCCCGGGTCACGACGGTGTAGGAAGGAAGACGAGTTGTTGACGAAAATAAGTTCCGTTAATAGCGCCTCCTCTTCGTTCCCAGGCTAGTCATTGTACATTCGCTTGCTATATATGTTCGCCCATAGACACACCACACGGGTACATACGCACGGACAGACAGACACGGTATTCGTACACGGAAGGGAATTAGTATCAGTTCGAAACTCGTATTCTCATATACAAACGAGAATATATATATATATGTTGTATGAAGATAAAACTTGCTTACACGAAAAAATTCTATATATTAGTTCTGGTAGAAATATCGTGTTCAAATTATGCAAGAATAATTTTCATGAATTGAGCAGACATCTTTAAACTAAGAATTATATCAGTTTGAAGATGTTCTTTCCATTCAATCTTTTTTCTCCTCGATTAATAAAAGTTATTCTTGAATAATTTGAATACGATATTTTCGATGGAACTATGTGGAATTTCTTCGTGTAAGCAAGTTTTATCTTCATATAACATAATATATTTTCATTTATACATGAAGGATATATAAGTCTTGAATTAATATTAATCTTTCTCCGTCTAGGATCTTATATTTAAGATCGTCTTAAGTTCATCTTCCGATGCTTCACAGCCCATGAAGTGAGCTGTATAGCATCTAAAGATGAACTTGAGACGATCTTGATTCTCTAACGGTAAGGTTGAGGTCGGATGCGACTCCACATGCTCGTTTATCTTGCACGTGCACGCGCTATTTTTCTCTTTGAGGAATGTCTCGTGTTATTATTTACTTCTTTTACCCATTTTGTATATTGATTAAATGAAAAATAAGCAAAAGAGAGCATAGGGTCAGATTCAACCCCATTTCCCTGGATACATTGAAAACCCATCTTGCCGTTCGAGGATTAAATATAAGATCTGACTATGAATACCGCTTATATACGCTCAACACACACATATACATACATTCGTCACATGTGATACGCAGGTAGGTAATTTAATCGTTTCTCTCTTCTGTCTCGTTGTACGGTACGCGTCGAAGCGCGCGTGCTGTTGTCTCTCGACATTTTATTCGAAATATAAAGGATTGCCAGACATGATGCACCTGCGTCACGCATTCCTCACCACATTTTCCCAGTCGAAAATTGCACGATTCTTAGCCTTACACGTATGCATATAAGGTCGAATCATTATAATTAGAGTCATTATAACCCAACCATTATAATTAGAGATGCTTACGCGATTTTCGACCTTATACGCATACATGTTTAAACCTGAAACTATGTGACTTCCGATTCAGGTAACGATAAGGCATACATGACGCAGAGTGTACGTACATATAACCTCCATGATATCGTGTACGCATCGCGACACCAACTTCTTCGATAACTTCGGTAAGAGGAGAGAAAAACCGTGCGAGGTACCAGCGAGTGAAATCGCCTCTCAAGACCATTCCTTGTCCATTTTGTCTGTTGTATATATACATGATATAGGGTAATACCGATACAATGAAACGGAGAAAGCATAAGTGTCGGAGGTCCGTAAGTAGCGGCGTAGCGATGATTCTGATCGGTTATTTATTCAATTTTGTATATATATAAGGTGGTCCTCCCCTCGAGGACCGTGAGTGAGGAATGTAGAAAGAATTTAGTAGTACGTGTTTTAAAAAACCTATGTACGGATGTGTAATACACACACACACACACACACACACACATATATACATCGCGCTGATGATAAACATCGCTGTAACATCTTCGTATTCGGAGAGGAAGGAAAGAGAGAAAAGAGGAGAGAAGAAAGAAGGAGAAAAAGAAGATCGGGGAAAGGACGTGGCGGCGATCATATATATTCTATTTCCATCGTATCGACCATCGATTCGATAGCCCTTCCTACCCCCCTACTTTCCCTCCCTCACCCCTCTGAAATTGCGGATACAAAGAATCCAATATTACTTTTTCGAAGACTGATAAGTAAGGCGATGAAGATCTGTGGAAGAAGCTCGGGCATCCTCGGCGTCGACGTCGTGAAAGTTATAATCGTAAAACTCGAGGTAGTAATACCGTTTGTATTCTCGACTGTGAGTATAGAGCGGTCTAAGTAGTTCGCTGAAACACGGCATTATTACGAAGTGACGAAACAAATTTTATAAAAGCATTACTTTAAGTTTCTCTAGTCTACAGAGCGACGTACCCTCTACTTTTCGTCACACACACACACACACACACACACACACACACGCGCGCGCGCGCGCGCGCGCGCGTGCGAAGGATTAATTTCGTTTTGTGAGCGATGACCCGTCGGGTCTGTTGCTCTTTCTCTTCCTTCCCCTCTCGGAGATGAACGTGTCATTTCAAAGAGGTGTACAGATCAATGAGATTGATTCACACGGAGATGCTGAAGCCCAAACGATGCACTCGTATTTGTTTAATTTATGTTATTTTCTCCTCTGTTAGAAAGTTGATCACGCGATCACGCGCACCGACTTTCCTCCACCTTATTTTCCGTTTCAACTTGGCCTCCCCGTATTTTCCTTCTGTGGGAATCGAGCCGTTATCGAGTTCTCTCACAGAGGAAGGAGAAACGCTCGGCATGGGGAGCAGAATTTATTACGTTTTAATTTAGCTCGAAAGTTTCTCGACATAAGTAGTTTTACCCTGTTCCAGTTCGAGTTAATTAGATTTAACTCTGTCAACTTGGAACCACGATATCAGGGTGTCCCTTGCGTTGTTCCTCGAGAAACAGAATTTGGTCTGTACACCACGACTATTTTTGTAAACTCAAATTCTTTTCCCCCTTCCCCTTTTCCTACGTATCGTCATTTCTATCATACTCTCTACTCTAGATTTTAAGAATAACTTTCGTTATTGATCCCGTGTTTTAAATTCTCGCCAGATATCTCTTTTTTTATAGTTCGTACGTTATTATACTTACAGTACAATAAAATTTATAGTTGAGAATACCCCCTTATTTTTACTTGAAACTATCGAATCGAGTATGTCGGTATATACTTGCAACTGCTGAACAGAATAAACGGTATAGTAGATACAAAATATTTATTCGCCTTACTTTTGTACACACACATACGCTCACATTGCAATGTATTTATTTATCGTACAATGGACATTCATACAAATTTATGGATTTATCTTCGGACACCGACGCGATTACGTTGTTCCTCTGTGGGTTATACTTTACTGCCCATACCTTTCGCGAAAGAATTTCATCGGTTAAAACTTGAACATAAACGTCTCATCTCGAGGCTAAGAACAATTAGCTTAAGAGTAGTATACCTGGTCGTTATGTTCCCTAAATGTATGCAGACACTGTCTTTGCGCCAATTCCCAGACTTTGACTGTGTGGTCGGAACTACTTGACGCAAATTGTTGCCCATCTCGTGAAAAAGCCACGCCGAGTACCCAAGAGGCATGCCCCGACATTGTTCCTGCTAGGTTTGCATCCTTGCTATAAATAAAAGATAAATTTCAAACATTCATATTTCGTTGTTTCTGATGATACTGATCGAGAGAAAGATTTCTATTTCCTCCTGTAACGATTTGTAACGAACTTTCGTTTGTCCACTCACACATCATACAGCTTCATATGACCGTCATCGGATGCTGTTAGCAGTAATTGAGAGTCTGGTGAAAAGCACAGAGATCTGATAGGCATCGCATGACCTAAATGATACAACTTGAAAGTAGAACATCCACATCTTGGCGATACTCTCATATTGAACATATATACTCGGACTACCTTCCAGCGTACGCAGGACTTTCCCATAGGTGACATCAAAGATATTAATAATTCCATCGATCGCACCACTCGCGATGTATTTACCATCAGGACTCTAAAACATTCATTTGTTTACAAGCTGTGTGAGAAATGCCTTCGAGCTTTTTTCAAATTCACCTACATAAGCAACGCTCAAGGTAAACTTTCCACCTCTTGTGTCCAGGGTTTGCTCCTGTTTGCCGCTCTCGACGCCGTATAAATGTATCTTGCCAGCATGGCTACCAGACACGACAAATTTATCATCCGGAGAAAAGACCATAGTCCAAATGTCCACCGGACCGACTTCAATGTTCGATAACTTGTCGCCAGACTGCAAGTCCCATAATCTTAAGCTTGAGTCGAGTGAACTAGATGCACATTCTATAAATTTACAACGATACGAAGTAGATGTGAAAATTACTTTCAGTAGGAACCATCGCTTTTGGTCTTACTTACTCAATCCATCTGAACTGACAGCTATGGATACCACCCCCAAGGAATGTCCAGTTAATTTATGTTTCATCTTCAAAGTGCCATCCTGCGGCACCCATACCTTAACAGAATCATCCACAGAACCTGTCACGAGATATTCCACGGTTTCATCTTCGTTGGATCGCATGGAATCACTGAAATCAAACCGAAGTATTCAGAATAAATCAAGACTTTTAATTCATATTCAAATTTAATTTCTTCCCAATTCAAAGAGAAGCAACTTTTTTTTGTTACCGTGAATCCTCATTATCAGGATCGTGACTCTTCTTTCTCTTTGGACAAGCCCACGCACAGGTCCATATACTGTCCTCGTGTGCGTTATCTATTTTATGAGTTAAAGAATACTGAAAAAGGAATTCAAAGAAGGAAATAGGTGACAACAAATAATAATTAATCAAGATAAGTGAGATAATACTCACCATTTCAGGGAAGCGAAACTTCAGTAAATCAAAATCTGTAAACAGAATGGAGCAGCCATATCGCGAGGATTTTCTTGGAACGCCTTTCCCGACGCGCCCTCTGAAGAAATACGTGTAAGACACATCATCCACTTTCCGTGTGTCGGGTAGGTAAAGTAAAATTTGCAGACATCGCCATCGTAGTTCATGTTTTGTGAATGTAGAGGCGCTTTTCGCACGAAAACATCAAATCTCGACGTTACTTTCTCATTTTTTTCGACACATTCGTAAGCCAGATACGTTCAGGTTATGTTTATCAGTGCACGTGTTGAGTAATCGTCTGATGAATCGAAGAAAATAGCAATGAAAATGCAAAAAAAAAGCTTAGCCGACAAGATAAATGCGCTAATAACAAGCAAGCCGGTGCATTTTGACTCGGACGAAGAACCGGAGGAGACAAAGGCAAAAGTAGTAGAATATCACGATGACGACGATATTTCGGACAATGAATTCCGGCAATCGAAAATTCGCAGGCAAAACATCGACACACTGGATAAGGTGGACAAGAGGTGAGACTATTTGCCTTTTGTATTTAGAAACGCGTGTAAAATATAAATTTTTTACTATTATGTAACATAATCTGCCCATGTTATTAAGATATGATTAACTGTTAACGTAGGTATGCTGGTAAAAAGATCTCCAGAAAAGATATGTACAGTGAAGATGATGAAGATGATGAAGAAGAGGATGAAGAAGACGAAGAGGATATAAGCAAAGACATGGAAAGTAAAGGTTCTGAAGAAGCCATGGAGAAAGAGGAGATGGATGGTACATTGGAAGAAAGCAGCGATGAATCACAGGACAAAGGAACAGATTCTCAGGAAGGATCTGAAGGTGCTGAAAGTGAGGAGTCTGAGGAAGATTACGATGTGGATTTAAACAATCCTCTTTATAAAAAGAGAGATTCTACCATTAAGACCATGTCTGAAACAAATGCCAGGGTAGAGATGGAGAAGGGAAACTGTGTTAGGAATCAATTAAGGCTCTGGGAAAATTTATTGGAGGTGCGGATAAAGTTACAGAAATGTGTTGTAGTCAGCAATCAAATGCCACAGTACGACACGCACAAGGAACTCAGATCAGACGCGAGCTTTGCGAAAGAGATCGACGAAACTAAGAACAAATTGACGTTGCTCTTGGATAATATGTTGCGACTGAAGGAACTTTTGCTGAAGCAATATCCTGAAACAAACAATCTACACACAAATTCTAAGAAGAGAAAAGCTGGCGAAGATGAGGACGACAAGGATGGAAGAGTCGACGACCCAATGGACGAAGAGATATCTTCCGACACTGAGGACGAAGCAGATAATGGGGAGGGATCGTCCGCTAACGAAGAAACAAAACCGGTCGAAGGACCGACGCCTAGGAAACGACTCAAGAATAAAAATTACGAGCATGTCTTGCGCGAAGATAACAGCTCCTACACGGAGTACAGGGACTCTGTTATCAAAAAATGGAACGAGAAGACGCGGATCACCACGATGAGTAAGAGTGCGGGTCAGACCACACTGAAGCAAGTGGGATTCGCTATGAGCGATATAGGTAAATTGCGGAGTAGAACTCGGTTAAAACGTTCCGAATACGGCATCGTCGGGAAATCGTTGCCGCTCGATGACAACGACGGTAGGAGGAGGACTCAAGAATACGATCCGGAGATTTACGACGACGACGATTTCTACCATCAACTGCTGCGGGATCTGATCGCGTACAAATCGGCGGATGTGACGGATCCGATACAGCTCAGCAAACAGTGGATCCAGTTGCAAAACATGCGCAACAAGATGAAGAGGAGGATCGACACTCACGCGACGAAGGGTCGAAGGGTGCGATACAACGTTCACGATAAGCTGGTGAATTTCATGACGCCCATTGCAGTGTACGACACGTGGACGGATTCTGCGAAAAACGAGCTGTACAATTCGTTGTTCGGTAAAATAAAGTCCTCGGCGGAGGAGCAGGCAAATGAATAATTATCAGCGTATCCGTGATCTATGTATAGTTTCCTTTTGTACAGTATAAAACATGATGTTGTGCGTCTGATAAATTTTAGAAAGCATACGAAACTCAATGAGCTCTAAATTCGATAGAAATAATGATAACAGAGTCAAGAATTATTTGACAGCGCGAAGTTTTTAATTTTCAAATGTATTTATATATATAAAGTAAAATTAATTTTTAGTGTTATGTGTGTATACAGGGTGTTCGATAATTTTTTTATTTAAACATCCTGTATTGTATTATAGTGCAATTTATAGTCGGTTGTAATAGAAATAAGGGAAAAATTAATTCATTATTTTCCCGCAAGCGTAGCGGGTCATGCGTACTTTTGATTCAGATCCGTTATTTGCAAGGTCAAATTAGGGGTCTACGTAATTATTAGACATGTTATTTCTGCCTCAATCAATTTTCAGTTCCAAAGTTTCTGCTATGAGCTGCCACTAGCTGCATTCGGTTTTGCAAATCGGAGACATCAGTATTGCTCCAAGAAAGTCATTTCATTAGCTAGATATCGTAAGATAATCTTACGAACAATTCTTCATTTCTCCGATTTGAAAAACCGAATACAGCTATTGAAGTCATAGTGCAAAAATTGAAGTCATAGTGCAATTTAACAGGATTCGCTGCTTCAAGAGGAATTGAAGTATTTCTCAAGTAGCATGACTCAATGGATGATCAACCGCACTTTTTTCATATAATGAAACAGGCGAAATTCCACAGATTGTAACTTGGGCAAAAATTATGACAGCAAAATGGCTCCGAAAGTATTCTAAAGCTTGAAATCTTTGCTTCTAAAGCATATTTAATTCATAAGATTACTATTGTTTATTGTTAAGATATATTGAGTTAAGTAGGAAATGGCGATTCTTCAATTTTCATCTTCATCTTTCAATTTTTTTCTTCACAAAGATTTATATTTTACAAAAATTTGACTAACACATTTTAAGGAGGGGACTTGAACCTTTTTATTCACTGTTCAGTGAATGTCGTACACCGATTTGTTCGCCTATTTTGAACGATTAAAGTCGAACTGTCAGTTTTGCTTCAACACTGAATAACTCGGTGGAAAAAGATCGGGCCGTAATCAGCTGGTTATTTACGCAAATTAAAGGGGAAGGTACATGTTTTCAAGTGGTGTCAATACTATTTCTTTTCAAGACTTTTCAATTTATATTCATGTAACACTGTAAAAATTAATTAAACTCTATATTTGTAAATATATTTTAAAACTAAGAATTTGGTAAAATGCTTTTCGATCTACCTCGTTATCATTATTTTTTTTTCAAAGTTACGGTCCACTGCATTTTTCGCGTATTTTTCATAACCGAGAAAAGTGAGAAGTTTGAAAACTAATCAATGCTCATAGGATGAGCTTAATACATAAGATTACGTTGAAGCTCAAATAGGAAAACTCAAATAAGCATTTCTTATCGCACTTCCCAGCGATATAATTAATTACGCGAATTCTGGACTTTACATTGCGATTTTCCATCTCTATAAAAAAAGACCGAATTGTGCGATAACGTGTAAAACTTTTAACCGCTGTCGAGAAAAATCCAGAGTCGACGATGCGCGCAAAATCATTAGTAATGCTGATCACGGCGTTTATACGCACGCAACTACAAGTGGACCGTGAGGTCATAAATTGGTCGCGATAATGTGCACTCACAACGCTCGCTTCGTGCTAATACTTGATAAGTGTCGAGTGTTTGCATTCACGATCACGTGTCGCACTATTGAGATTTGGCAGATGAAAACAATGACAGTTTATTATTATCGACAAAACGAACATGTTTGAAACGCAAAAAAATATGACTAGTGCGATATGAAATGCAAGCCAGAAAACCGATTAGAGCCAAGCAAGCGAAGTGCGTACACACGAGGAGGCTCGAGATAATAATAATCTCAGGGTGGAGATTTATAGGGTGTAACGTGAAAAACAGGATTTTTACAAATTTGCAATGTCTCGGGATAATATTGTCGTCAATCATGATATATTATTTTGTTTATTTTCGCGGGAAAACACGGTCCTCGCGTGTTATTGCAAACTTGTAACAACATCCGCGTGCCGTATCTCGCCGAAGATTACGATTAACTGTGCCTTGTCGCTCGCGACTGTCACTCACCCCGTTTAATTCCGCCACTTGAGCCTGTGACTCCGTTTCACGTTATGTGGCATGTAAACATGGGCTTATTATGTGGTAACGCGATGACGAATTAATTTCAGATCAAGATTGCTCCGAGAAAAGTGAATCTTCAATAAATGCATGTCTCACAAGACGTGACGTTCTCCCTTCAGATTCGATTATATCCCGACAAGGCATCTCGTAAATACACAGTACAGCTGTATGCGTGAGTGAATTCGAGTCACTATTATTTTATGAAGTATTTTTATTTTATAAACTATTTCTTGTAAATATATTATACTAAGAGAGACTCTATAAAATAATACTGGCTATGTAGAAAAGAGTCTAACAAAATTTAAATTAAATTTAATTTAAATTAAATTTAATTTAAATTAAATTTATTTTATGGTACTATAATTTTATTGGTGTTATAATTATGTGCTGTGCTCCTTGTGGTCCTAAATTTATAATTAAAAACGGTGAAATATTTTTATAATTTCGATAATTCGATGGGCAATCGCTGAATTCATTAAAACAATCTCTTGAAACATTGATTTTATGTGGATGTTATAAACATCTTGACATGATATTTTATAAATGTTTTCAAATTGTTACTTGATAATATAATATTCCTAAATATTAAAACCATAATGTCGAAATATTATTTTTAATATTTGAGTCAAATATTGTTAATAATGACATTGCATACAACATTAAAGCCTGGTTTTCCATTTCCTTGTTAACTTGTAGCTTAAACTGACGATAATACTACAAAATACAAAAAAAAATTGCTTTTTTCTATTCACGGTTAATCATTAAACTAAACCGGTTTTATTGGTGGTAACTTTGGAATTTAACAATTAACCATGAATAGAGAAACATAATTTTCACGTTGAGTCACCGAGTTAAGTTTAAGCCACAACGAATTAACCGGAAATGGAAAAACCGAGCCTAAGACTACATATTTGAAAACAATACTATGTTAATGATTTCTTGCTTACTGGGGAGTCCGTGGCTGCCTCGGACGTGCACCGTCCGCACGTCGGACACTCGCGGATCCGAGAACCTGCGGGTCGGCGTTCGCGGATAAATGTCACGGAGTTGCCGTCGTGTCCGGGTGCGGTCCACGCACGTTGATCCCGAGTCAGCTTCTGTCGCGTATCATCATCATACGCTGCTTACACGCCGGCTGCGGCGGGCAGCAGCGGCGACGAAGAGGACACGTTATAATCCTTATCAGCGACGACTTGACACTTGACCCTTGACGCTGGCCTAAGCGCCTCCGCGTCGGCGGGTAAATCGCGAGCTTTCCGCGGAATCCGCAGTCTCTCGTCGATCATCGGCGACGCTTAATTACGTTCGCCGCGTCGATCGTTTCTCCTTCTCTCTCTCTCTCTCTCTCTCGCAGAACGCGCCCTTTGCGGACTCGCGAGTCCTTCGCGACCACTCGCGAAACTCCCGGCAGCCTTTCGTCGTGACTGAAGGTGACTGATACACTCGCGGCCGCCTTTTTTGTGCCTCGCCACGATACCAGACCCTCTCGACCTCTCGTCGAGCCGTCACATGCCAACGACTCCGCGGCTCGAGGAAAAGCGGATTGAGAAACGCATGCGGAGGACCGGTGGTCGCGGAACAAGCGTCGAGGAACGGTAAAGCATCTCCTTCACGCTGGCTGAAATACTCCCCCGGCATTCCGCTCACCGATATCGCGATATCCATTTACTTCTCGCGATTATCGAACTTCAGAATTTCGGAGATATCGAAGCCCCTGTTTTTCATTTCCTGGTTAATTTGTGCAGCAGGCTTCAGTCTGGTGATAATGCAAACAATCGTGTTCTTCTATTCACGGTCAGTTGTTAAACCGATGTAGAGTGGTAACTTTTAAAGTTTAATAAATTAACTGTGAATAGGAAAACATGATTTCTACGTTATTATCGGGTTAAGCTTAAAGCACAAGTTAACCAGAAAATGAGAATTCGAAGGTGGAGGTGTTCAAACTCAATATATCTTGAATATTGGAGCACGAGATTACGCCGGGTAGGAGTTTTATATAGAATAGAGAGTGGAATCTAAATTTTTCCACTTCATTTTTCTATTAGAAATAAAAACTACGATGCGTTGCTTCTTTTCTGCTTATCTGAAACACAAGGAAGCCGAAAGAGATAGATAATAGTGTTTGTGCTTTAATGTGCCTGCACTTGAGAAGCGAAAACAGTAACTAAATATAAGAGAAATGAAAAGAGTGAGCGTGTTAGACTTTTGCGTTTAGCCGAGATTAATGCTAATCTATGAGGAAACACAATTACAGTAAGATAGAGAGAGAAAAAAGAGAGAAAGAAAAGTCTAGCATAAATTATACGACTCTTACGTTGTAAGGACACTTATCTAACATCGTCCTTGTTAGGAGTGAACCGTCGAAGACATCGTTGGCACATCGACGTTTTGTCATATTGACGTTGTCTAAGCCAGTAAACCACGGCGGGAATTATCACACGCGAACGCGCATTTAAAAGATCCTGGTTCCACATTGAAAAAATGAATTAGCTGTCCAAATAATACAACTGAAATTCAGTTACTAGACCTAATTTTTACCTGTGGGAACTAAAAATTAAGTACAGGACCAAAAAGAACAAGCTAAATTAACTAAATTTCAATTATGCTATATGGACAGCTGATCTTTACTTATGGGAACGAATTTTTAGCTGTGAGAGCTAAAAATCAGGTACAGGGACAAGAAGAATTAACTAACTGAATTAACTAAATTTCAGTTTCTTATCATACGAACGGCTAATTTTTACTTGTGGGAGCTACTTTTTTTCCACGTATAGATTTGAAGACGAGGATTCCTCGCCGTTTCGACTCCGAACGACTTATCCGCACGCGACGACGGATAGACCTGACAATTTTTCTAAGCACGCAGAACATTAATCAGGTTTCATTGCTCGACAAATTGCGGTCTATCGATACGTCGATACGTGCGCGCGTGCAAGGGAGAGATAATTCTTTTAATTGAATCGTATATCGAGACAACCCCTTCGGTAGCACCACATGATGTTACATCATGCGTCATGTTGTTGTACGGAGCAACAAACAGCTCTGTTTACAGCTCCGACTTATTTTCACAAGAGACGCCCGATTCCGATTAACCGATCCAACGTATAAACGAAGCTAACAATTCTAATCTAATCTAAGCGTCAAGGTTGCAGAAACGTCTGACAGACGTTCGCCTTTCCTTTCTTTCTTTCTTTTTTTTTCTTGCCGCGAAATAATTGCGCAAACGTCCGTTTGACCGAATTCGAGACGGTTTAGCGTCGCAGCGCCGATTCGTGCGCTCGTCCGCGCGCGATATCACGCGAAAATAATGAGAATCCAGATAAGGGATACAATCGTCGGCGTCCGTCGAAGGGAATCATTTTCTTTTGACATACACACAGAAATCTCTACTCCTCATCGGGATGAAATACTTTCTGCGTCGTATGCTCGGTTTCTGGGATTACCCGTTGCATTAGACGCACTCTCGTCGCCTTTGAGGAAAACTGTTTACCGTTATTATTATTTCAATGAGATTGGCCGATGTTTCGAATAATAGTTAAAATAACGTGAAAGATAGCTCATTATTTTTGAAGGATTCTTTATACGCTTGTCTGCAACGTAGAAACTTCTCGGATGAGAAGGGGGTTGGGAGGAGAGGGATTTTTTCATATCGCTCGATCCCAAAAAATTGAGCTACGACGAAACGAACATGACTTCGCCGAGACAGATAATTAGAAGAAGCCGATAATTAAAAGCAGTCTCATTAATACGATATCTTTACGTGTTCCCCCGATGCACTTTGCGCTTCGGGGCCGAAGTTTAGTTCCGTGCTTCTGTGTAGCGCATGTCTGACACATGATGTCAGACGGATTTGGTACTTTGAACGCGATCCTCGCTGATATATATTTTAACGTTAAGATTCGCGCGTGACAGCGAGAGAGAGAGAGAGAGAGAGAGAGAGAGAGAAAGAGAGAGAGAGAGAGATAGGAGGCTCACTAATCTCGCTCGTTTTTTCCTTCGCTTCTTCGTCTTCGTTTCAGCACCGACGAAAACAGCGAGTGGACTTGGGTCGAACTTGGGTCGATCCGTCGCGCGAAAATACCAAAAGACCACCGGCTAATTCGAGCCTCAGCACACCTACGGCTCCGCTTCTCGGACCTGCGCTGAATGAACGGGCTTCGTCGGCAGGTCGTCGGCAGGAAGTGAAGTAAACCGAATCAGTATTGTGATACATCCTGCGCGACGAGGGTGGCTCGTCGCGTCGACGGTGCGCATACGGACGGGACAACTGCGGAGAGATCGCGATCGACGGGGATGATGTCGCTTTGAAATACACTTCGTACTCGGGTACCTCGTGCGGCCAATGTACGGTGCACTCGCGGCCATCCTCAATTTGAAAATCGCAACTTGACCCCTCAGCTCGATTTTTAAGGTAGTTGATCCGTAGAGTGCCGGGTTTTCAATGTATCAAGGAGCCCCTTCATAAATTTATTATTTACTGAAAGAAAAACATTCCTATGAATTTGATTTAAGTGACTGAGTAATGAATATTATTTTGCAGCGAAATTAAAACAAATATATGCACAATACTATAAACACGGAAATATTATTTGCTTTCTTCTTATTGATGCTTTATTTATAGGTCAGTTGAGCTTATAAAAGTGCACACATAATAGGAATATGGTATATGAATATTTAAATATGTGTATATATGTACATATATCACAGGTGTTACTGTAAATTATAAATTTCATATGGCTATATTTTCAAAATAAAATGGTCAATAAATCTGAAATTTTTGTATAATATTTCTATATTAGCTCTTAATATCAGAGTATTTTTTATTAAAGTTCTAAATGTGGTTTAGAAGGGATTAAAAATAGAAATTAAAAATAGGACATTAATCTCAAGAAACACGTATAAAAAGTGTCCACCTTCTCTTGCGAATATCTAAGTTTCTGGTCAATCGTTTTCTAACTTTACATAGACGTGCATATAGTATTTCCACCAGGACGCAGATAAAATTGAAAAAAAATTCACATTATAAAATTAAAATTAAAAGAATTCCTAAAAAAATGGTTTAACGGATCAACTACTTTAACATAATACGTAAGATGAAGCGTTACGGAAAAAAACTGCGAAGATTTTCTTCTCTGAGATAATATATTTGGGCTCTTAGTAGTCTGGGGAATTCTTAAAATGATTTTTTAATTTAATTCTAAATTAATTCATATGCTTTTATTTACGTGAGGCTGAGTCTCAAATAGCAGCGGTATTTCGACGGAATGCGGCAATCTTTTGAGAATGCGACATGATTTAGAATACCGAAATAAAGGCGAAATCCAAAGCGCCATGATCTGATAAACGCTTGTCGTAGTGATGACGTATCTCTCTGTCTCTCTCTTTCTCTCTTCCTGAGAATTGTTGCGTCTATCGCTGGAACGCCTTGCGAACAGAGCAGATGCACTGTCTCCCAGTTTATTGTTTCCCAAACTCGCTGAGCTAAAAGTGAGCAATTGCGAGGTGTCCTGAGTGAATTCGCACTATGCTCCCGGATATGTAAATCCTCGATCGTAATTTCCTCTCGCTCGGGTCATCCTTCAAACTTGAGCGAGCAAAAAGAATGTTTAAGCAACCTGAAAATCTCAAGCTGTAAATATAGACCTTGCTCGAAAACAAAAAGAACATCCTTTCGCAAGAACGAACACGACAGTTTCAGATGAAGTAATAATCCGACCATTGACGACATGGAGGAAACATTGCGATTAAACGAAACCAGGTGCAACGACACCGAGATGCCGATCGACATGCGCTTCAACGACGGCCACTTGATAAAAATAATCACTTATAGCGTCTTAATGGTGATATCGGCGATTGGAAATATTGCCGTGCTAATAATGACTATAATACGAAAACGGAAGTCCAAGTCCCGGATAAACACCTTGGTGATGCATTTGGCGATGGCTGACCTCTTCGTAAGTGCTGACCATCCGACATTATCAACAGAAAGTACATAACGATAATAATTAAAATAAATAATAATAAATAAGCTAAATGATTAAAAAATAATGGCACTGTTTGGATTTATCCAAAAAAGAATATCTTTTAATTGGGCTTATAAGAGTACTAAGCATGGATGTCCTGGTGCGATTTTAACATTAAAATAGTTAATATTGATATTATTTGTGGGACGATACTTGTTTAGTCCGCCCGGCAGCTAGAGAGATCCGTGTTTGATTCTTGATGAAGACAGTAGTTTTCATAATATTTACTGTAAAGGAAATCAAAAATTCAAGTCTCTACATTGCAACCATTCATGAATGAAAGATATTGCTAACGGATGGTTGAAGGTGGACGATACAAGTTCACAGTCATTTGTTCAAACTAATAAGTTAAGTAAAATGTACAAACGGACCTGATCTTTTTTTTTCAGGTGACGTTTTTGATGATGCCCTTCGAAATTGGATGGTCGATAACAGTGTCGTGGGAGGCGGGGGATGCGATGTGCCGTATAATGTCTTTTTTTAGGGTATTCGGCCTATATCTATCATCTTTCGTAATTGTCTGCATAAGTATAGACAGGTCAGTGTAATGGTACTTTAATGAACGATGGGCAGTTCCTAGAACCTTCCCACGTGCATACGCCGCTATACATTGATTAGTGACCCAATATCGGACAGAAATGAAGCACTGCTCAGTATAGTTTGCTATTGTGCGAGGCTTTTCTTTCGATCTATTTGAGAAGTCTTTTGGAATTTGTCGGCACTGAAGCCCGCGATTGTATTTTAGATATTATGCGGTAATGCGACCGCTGCAGATATTGGACGTTCACAGAAGAGGGAAGATAACTCTGATTTTCGCGTGGGTGGGCTCCGTATTGTGTTCCTTGCCGCAGGTTAGCTCGTTAACTCGTTCGTAATTTCCCGCATTCACGGTTCTGCAACTACGTCGTACTAATGTTTATTTCGCGCTTAATTTCCAATGCAGATGCTGGTGTTCCATGTCGAGGCGCATCCGAAACACACTTGTTTCATACAATGTATAACATTCAATACCTTCCCGTCGCACATGCACGAGCTCTCGTACTCTTTGTTCGTGATGACGGCAATGTTCTGGTTCCCTCTGATCGTGATATTCTACACCTACACCAGCATATTCGTGGAGATCTGTCGTAGGTCCAAAGAAGGTGCGGTCAATGCGATGCTGTAAAAACTACACATTGAGAGAGAAAGTATCTTAAAAAAAAGTGTCTATTCGATGATACTATAATTTACTTATACTAATAATGTAGTTTAAAAAATTGAGTTTTTTCATTCTTCCGCTGATTTTTTCGGTTTTTTCTCAAGAATAGGAAAATTCGTTCTGAAAAATTCATGGAAAATTTAACTTCGCTTAACTTCAATTGAATGCACGCAATTATCTTCTTTACGGTAAGAAGTAAATGTGGCAAGTTTCAACCGAACACACGTGAATTTTTCTGAACGAATTTTTCTACCCTTGGAAAAAAACCGAAAAAATCAGCAGAAAAATGGAAAAACCCCTGTTTTTTCGAGTCTTGACAACTATAACCAATATATATATTTCAACGCAGAGAATAAATTTTTTAAAATGAGAAAATATATACATTTTCTTAAATCAGTATCTTTGTGTGAAAGCAACTATTTATTCTATTTAAAAATAAAGGAATTTTGAGATTTAAGTAAATATGTTGTATAGTATCCGCCGAATAAATATTTTTAGACATTTTATCTCTTAGTGTATAAGAACGCTCAGGATTATTTGAAAATTTATTGCAAACTTTTGTTATCCTTCATTATATTGAGATGAAGACACATTTATCATTATGCTCTTAAACGCTCGTCTGCAAATCAGGGGTGAAACGGCCGATACATTAAATGAGCATTTCTTACAGACAGAATACGTCGCTCATCGATCGGCTTCCTCAGTCGAGCGCGGGTGCGCACTTTAAAAATGACGATAACCATTATCGCCGTTTTCATTATCTGCTGGAGTCCTTACTACGTAATAAGCGTCTGGTGAGTACTGTTAATTCCACCAGGCTCTTTTAATTAAGAATCACTAATTACTCACTACGCGATACTACGAGAGTCGGGCAAGTACGACGATGTCTTAACGCACGCGTTGCGAAACAACGCGCGGTGATCGTTGAATATGGGCTAATAATGCGCACGACGAAACAAATATCTCCGATACACGCGGTCGACACGGGTCTCGTGTGTGAATCACGTCTTGTTAGGAAAGAAAGGAATGATAAAACCGAATAACAATAATATGCCGGATCGAATTGAACTTCGAACTATATGAGCATAATCGTCGAACGCGTGCAAACAGGTACTGGATCGATCGGTCGTCAGCTCGGCAAGTTGACTTGCGCCTTCAGAAAGCGCTCTTTTTATTCGCGTGCACGAACTCCTGCATGAACCCGATCATCTACGGCATCTTCAATATACGCCAGAGGAGCCAGGTGAGTAAAAAAATAAAAAATTCTTTTCGCTGGACAGATGGACAGCCTCGCGCATTGCTTGTCGATTCGTGAATCCTTAACGAAGCTGCTCGCCGAAAGCGCACCGTCAATTTTATGCTTTGTTTCACCAGCCAATAAAAGTTGCTCAATTTTTTTCAAGCGGCACCATTACAACGGACATCATTATAGATAATGCCGCGTGTCGATCTCGCGGCAAACGTTAATATCGATAAAATAAAGGACTGGCCTGAGCGTGAAATAGAACTCGGGCCGAGGCAAACTCGTGTAATTGTCGTGTTAATTCGATTATTCGCGCTCGATCTATCGTTCACGCGCGTCCCCCTACTTGATCCGCGTGATAATTGCAATAGATATTTTCGCCTCGCTACGAGGAACAAGAGTGAAAACGAGTCATTTACGTGAAGAAAGAAAGAAGCAGGAACCTTTACATTTTGTTTGTTGCGCTTTGTTTTAAGGTAGTTGGCCCGCAGAGAGGCCGGATTTTCAGTGGCGATATTAAGGAGTCCCTACATAAATTTATTATTTACTGAAAAAATATTTTCCTATAACTTACATTAACTATTTAAATAATAAATGTTAATTTTGTGTGTGTGTGTGTGTGTGTGTGTGTGTGTGTGTGAGCGGAATTAAGAATAATATAAAATATATTTATACATATAAATATCACAAACACGAAGATATATTATTTACTTTTTATTTTTTTATCGATGCTTTATCTATATATCAGCTGAACCACTAGATAAACACATAATAGAAAGTGGTATATAAATATTCAAAGATGTGTTTATATGTACATATATTGCAATAAATAATAATAAATCTCCTATGACTGTATTTTCGAAATAAAATGGTCAATAATTCTGAAATTTTTGTACAATGTCTCTATATTAGTTCTTAATATTATAGTAGTTTTTCGTAAAAATTCTAAATGTAGTTTAGAAGAAATTAAAAATAGAAGCTGAAAATACGATATTAACCTCAAGGAATACGTATAAAAAGTGCTATTTTTAGTGGCTAATCTCAACTTCCAAATGGCCAATGTTTTTTTTAACTTTACAGATGGTATTTACATCAATATGCAGCTAAGATTTCAAAGGATTTCACAAAAAATGGTTTGACGGGCCAGCTACCTTAAGCAATGCCATCAAAAGTCTCGACATATTTTCACTCGGCGCACGATCGTTTCTCTTTTCTACCGACAAGAGAGTTGGAGCTAACTAACACTTGATGTCGCCTTATATTTGCAGACAAATCTTCAATCCTATCCTCCCTTGATGCCCATCAATGCCACCGTAGAACTTCCGATAGTCGCGTACGCCAGAGATTCCATCTTCACCGTTTTCTTAATAGTTTTGCCGATTCTCTTTAACTCCCCGACTTCGCTTAACAGACGCTCGTCGCATGATCACGGTAACTATGGGCTCTTCACGTCAATTAATAACTCGACGCACATTGTCAACCGCACGAGTTGTCACGCTTGGGTCGATTGGGTCTCCGGTATCGCATATCTTCTGCCTCCCCTGCTGCGAAATCACCGAATTCCTCCGTGTGCGAGCTCCCTCCTCCTCCTCCTCTCACGCATATTTCTCCGTTTCAGGCGCCGGAGCGAGCAGCCACCATCGAGACCCGAATCACGCCGCTGTCCTTGTCGATCAGACTTCTCGATTGACGATGAACACGACGTTCGCCAGGTCGAACGGATGCATTTAGACGAGCGAGCCAACCGTGCCGAGATGCAGACGCGACACCTCGTATCCGTATTTTTCTCGCGCCCTTTCCTCCTCATATGATAATTGCGTGATCGATTCGTATGCATTAAGTTACATTACACAACAACCGTGCCCTTGCAGATACGAGGTTCCACCGTTCAAATGCAATTCTGTGCGGCGCACAAGGTCAATTGAAAAGTTCCTTGCTTTATTCTGACATAAGACGTCAGACGATAATGTTACGAGTGATTGTAGTGCTGATAAAGTGGCTATGATCATGGTCGCGAGCCACGTCGGCTGACGGCGGAAAGAAGAAGACGATTCTCCCGGAAATTCGCGAAGTTCGGCTGGAGAGACGCGCGGCGCGACATGTGCATTTTCTTCGATTAACCCTCCTAAGTCGATTTTTTATCTGAAAGTGACGCCAATTTTTAAGATGAAAATTATTTATTGTGATAAATGTAAATAAAGCAGTCGAAAGGTATATATATACGGACAATTAGCGTTAAGCGATCGGGGCGATCGAGGCTCATTCGAGGGCGGAGATGTTTCCGGACCAAAATCGAAATCGCGTCTGTCATGCTAATGCAAGTCCAAAGACAAATGTGCAGTTCCGTCGCGCGTTCTCTTTGCCATAACTTCGTGCAACTCTGCGACATGATTGTACAAATAAGTTACATAAGCTATTTATATACTATGTATACACCGCTTATATTTTATAGTCGTATCTCTCGAAAAGACCAAGATACTGGGGAAAAAAGACCCTCGCGTTCTCCCGTCTCGCCTGTATTACGTAGAATTCTTATCGTTGATCAATTTCGTATACGTAATCGACGTTCGCAGGACCGATCTTCATGTTTCTATAACTATATATTTTCTGTACATAAATAATAAAACGATACGTATCGGTTCACAACTGTGTGTGACAACCATCGCTATTATTACCGGTGCGATCGAGCAGCGAACGAATAACGTAATAACGCATTTTGGTACGAAGGAGGAAAATCGTCGTCATCGCGAGCGTTCTTTCCAGAATTAGCAACGTTTGTGTGGTGTGCCAACTCAGACTTAATTCATCTTCAATTGAGCGAAATCTGCGTGACGCCGGGTGTACCGAATCTGTTACACACGTACAACGAACTTGTTATACACATGAGTTAAACTCGGCATACGGTGTCTTCGTAATGTCGCTTAAGATGGAAAATGGATCGTACGATCCAGAGACCTGGTTCGCTATTTATAGTCTTATATTAAAAACTGTCTTTTCATCTTCAGACCTTTCGTAGAGAGATGAGCCGTACAGCATCTGAGGATGGAATTCAAGACGGTCTTGAATATAAGACCCGGCTACGGCCCTAGCACCCTGACATAGCTGGAACGTAGTTAACGACGAGGTCGAGATGTTGGCGGGAGACGAAATGGAGCCTTTCGTTACGCGCGTTCGCAACGCGTACGGCAACGTGGTACAGCAACGTGCACGAGAAATGCGGGCACTTGATGTAATCGTGGCCGAGGGAACACGCGTTGACTCGTCGTCTCAGCGTGACAGGTCGACTTACGAACGTTACGCGGTATCCACCACGCGAAATCCATTTCTTCGCATCGCCGGCGATTAATGAAAATAACGAACGCTATCGGCGATGGCGGAGGCCCCCATCGTCTCTGACTTCTTCCATATTTCCTTCTTCATTCCTCAAGACACGTCGTACATTATCATAAAGGAAACTAGGCCTCGTACGACTTCGAAACTGGTGTGGATGTGTAGGTGGACCACTTCCCACACATGCGTAACCGGCACACCGGCGACATTGTTACATACTTGTTGCAAGGCATATCGCATCGCCGTTATCCGCGAGACTCTGATGAGCCGCCGACTCAATCGGCGAGCCTCTCGACGAAGGATTGTCAAATAAATGGGTGGACGTGGAACGGAGTTGGGCGAACAGGAAAGCCGCTATTTATAGAGCTTCCTCGTTTATTCCTCGCCCGCGTCCTGACGACAGTTTTACGCACCGAGATAACGCAGAGCGCCGATGCGCGGATGAGTGTACTTCGCGCTAATCGATTCTTCTCTGAGATATTTCTTGTGTCACCGTAGAAGGAAGCGATTAATTTATATTGGTGCCGCACTTGCGACGCGCCTTCCCGGCTATGATTATTCCGTATCGCGTGGGCGACGCCATTACAGAACGCCGAGTAGTAATGTGTAAAGCTCGACGTGCAACTTTACGTTTATACGGCAGCCTAAAATCTGATTGGCAGCACTCGTAATTTACGTTTGCGTGACCGGCATAAAACTGACGTGATGACGTCTCGATAGTCTGCAGCTACTAATGTTACATGTCGTACTATATAGTTGTAGCATTACTGAGATGTCCATTAATATTGATTTCATTAACATATCTCACAATGCTCTCAAGAACTGGACTTATTAGATTCTTTTTTAGATATATACTTCTAATTTTTATTTTGAATACTCTTTATTCAATTATTATTGTATTGTATTTTCATTTTTTTTCTTTGTATGTGGTGTAGCAAGTGCATTTAATTATATATTTTTTGTATTTTTGCCTATTTCTCGTTTACTTATATATATATATATAAGTACGACATTTATATGACATGTAACATTGATGGCACCAGCGGAAACTTAAACCGGTTCTATGCTGTTTTATGTGGATTACACATGTGGAAGTCACTAAATCGGTAAACGTAATCAATGCATTGGAAAAAGGAATTCGCTGTCCATATAATACAACTAAATTTTAGTTATCAGGATTTCAGTTACAACTGAAATTTAGTTACCAAACCTAGTTTTTAATTGTGGGGGCTAAAAATTGGGTACAGCGACAAAAAAAAATAACGCGCGCGCACGCGAGGATTTCAGGATTTCAGTTACAACTGAAATTTAGTTACCAAACCTAGTTTTTAATTGTGGGGGCTAAAAATTGGGTACAGCGACAAAAAAAAATAATTAAATGAAATTAACTAAATTTAAGTTATATTATTATTATTATTTCAACTGATTTTTAGCTGTGGGAGCTTATTTCTTTTTCGGTGTGATTTTACATTCCAACCGGACAAAACGACAGTAAAACAGCTCATCTCGCCGTCCATTTCCGTTTGTTTACCATCGACTCCTCATCTCGAATCGAATTGCCGCTGGTTTTCCTTCAGATAAGTGTCCTGCTCGCAAGTTCTGCTTCGTTCTTCGCCCTCTTCTGACATTTCTGAAGGATGCGACGCGCAACGCGCGACCAGATCAATTCGCCGCGATAAGGTTCTGATTCGCCGATATTTTTCTCCGCTCGCTCGTTCGCACATCGACAGGTAGTGTCACGCACGAAATCTCACTCGTAAAGCCGTCGTGGGCGACGTATAAAGTCGCGGGCGACTCGCGTCCGCGCTTCAGTCGACGCACGCAGGGCGAAGCGTGTATTCTCGCGTGCGCGCGCGTCCGTCGTAAATCGTAATCCGTCGGAATCCTCCGCGAGAGGAACGTCGAGGGGAGCGCGTTCTTCGAAACGGACTACTCGAGGACGCTCTTCACTTCCGCTTCGGATCCGCTTCTTTTTGTACAGTGTTCGATTATTCAGGCGGACTACAGGTTCGCAGGTACGCGAGTCAGGATGCGAGTCCTGACGGTGCTGATCCTAGGATTGCTCGTCGTCTACGCCGTTGACGGCGCCGTTGTACCGGACGAAGGTAAGTCTAGGTTGTGTCTTCCGTGAAAACTCGATGCTTCGCTCGCATTTCACGTCGATTGTGAGAAAATAGGGGGGTTCACGGAAAATTTGCATCCAATTTGATTTTCACGCGACGAGATTTGGCTCGAATTTAATTAGCGCACAGTTTATTACAATTTTGTTCGTGAATTCAATTAAATTTAACTTGAAGCGCTAACATACGCGCTACACTGAAAATCTCCCATTTTGTTTAGACTCAAACCAAATTTTGTTTTACGGGGGTAATAACCTGTAAAATTGTTCTTTTGTCTTAATTCTTATTTGGATATAGGCAAACAAATGTTTTGGTTGTGAAAACCAAAATTTGGTTCTCCGAACCAAAGATTTTGCTCTCTGAACCAAACCTTTTCCATTTTCGTTTCGGAGAAACAAACTTTGGTCCTCACCTCCACCAAAACATTAATTTGCCCATATCCAAGAATTTTGTTTGAGTTAATTAAATGGGTTTCTCAGTGTGGAAGCGTCCCGTTCTTGGTGTAAGACTCGACAAGAAAGCCGGTAGTTACGTGAGATCGGCGAACGAGGATTCGTTCTCACGGTCACTCCCATTTACACCGTGTTACAACGTTTACACACCAACCCGCCGCCGCCTCTCTCCTCATTACAACCTGTCGATTCCCGACAGGTCTTAAGAAGGACCTGCAGGATGTGTGGCAGGAAGATGACTTCGTGATTGCGCTGTCTCACATCAAGATCAAGAAGAGGCAGTCTGGCAGCGCGATCGAGACCCTCCTAGCTGTCAAGTATGGAGAGTCGAAGAGCAAGATGGTGCTGATACTCGATCGGCGAACGAAACGCGGTGAGCCGACGAATCTTTTTCCCCCGGGCCACCTCCGGGAAGATCTTCCTCGACTGGGGCGAATTAGCCAGAATTTTCTCGAAGCAACGCGTTAACGTTTCTCATTCCAGTTATACTCGAGAGCCTCGACGAGAGTGGTCGACGTAGCGCTAGCCACCTTAAGGTGGACAGTCTCGCGGTGAATGCGCCGTTAAAGAGTCTGATCATCCTACTGCATCAAGGCCATCCGAATCCCCGCGTAGACGTATACGTTGATTGTATCTATCAGGGCTCTATACCGCTCAAGAGGACCTTCCGTGACATCGTCGAGAACGAGGAGAATCCGTACGTGGAAGTGGTGAGTCCTCGTTGAGATCCTGACGAATACGTAACACGACATATTGAAAATTCCTCCCTCGATTCTCTTCTAACTTGACTCGTGATTTTCCGCTCTCGTCGCTGTCTTCTACGACTCGCGCTCCGCGGTTTCTTTCTTATTTACGTGCCGTCCATGACGTCCGCGAACGTGGGACGACGTCTTCCCAAATATGGTTGACGAGACCTAAGCTAGTTGCTTCTGTATCGCGTGCACCTGGCTGACTTGCCCAACTCGACCGATCCCTGATGAATGCTCCGACGAATTGAATTCGTTTCAATGAATTATTCCCGCCCTGTTTCTCCTGCGGGAGCTATTACGAGCGCATTCCGACCTTGTGCAACGTCGCTCCGCGATTATTCTCAATTTTTGCCGGCTCGAACGACTACGTGCTCTGAAATATGAATTTGGTTCGATCTAGCCGATAATGGACAGCCGAACGTTTCGTTTTTTCCAATTAAAACGCGTTTGCTTGTCCATTGCCAGGTAGATCCAACCAAACTCTTTTTTCAATGTGAAGCGCTTTATTCTTTTGCTGAAATAACAAGACACCTACACAGCAAAAAATTTTGTATTAATTTAACACAAAGTGAATATGTTGAAAAGTAACAAATATATAAAAAATGAACACAAAATTAACATCTAACGCAAAATTAATATCTATAATATGTTAATATCGACACATAAACGAATTGTAAAAGTGTGTTATTTTAATACTTACATATATTGAATCTCGACTCAACACAAAATATTGAGATAACATAAACAATATGTTAAATTAACACACGGATATGTTAAAAAATTTAACACAAATTTTAACAAAAACCGATTATAATCTTGTTCTTCAATTGTGTTTTTAACACAAGTGCAAAATGTTTTTTTACTGTGTGTATAATAGTTATTATAGGATAACAGTTATTGTGATTCTGATAGAAACAAACAGCTTGATAATGTTAACCCTTTGCACTTCCATGTCGAGTGTGACTCGACATCAGTTTTTATCCCAGGAGCTCCTTTGTCGAGTCTCACTCACTTAATGGTCGCTTTGTCTTACTCGAGAGAACTTACTCAATTAGTGCAATATTATATTATATTATTAGTACAATATTATAGCAATATAGCATAAGACCTCTCAGTACAAATACTGTAAGTACTCGTTTTATATGATTTTGAAATATAATTCGGAGTGCAAAGGGTTAAAGCTGTAATTATATGTACATTCGCGCGCATTTCTGTTTCATCTTGTTGATTTAATGGACAATTCTTTAATTGAAAATTAAAATTTGTCTTCTCTTTGCAGTAAAAATATCGACTCGGTAAAAAATCGCCTCGAAATCTTCTTTTAGTTTCGAGAACGAAAAAGTCAGGCGAAAGTGTACAGGACCTCGAGCATCACCGAGGTGTTGAGGAAGGAGGAATGTCCCGACAAACTAGTTGACATGATCATCCCGTCGATACTCGAGACCGACTTATTTCCCGGCCACACGAAGATTCGACCCCTGTCTCGACCAATTCTCGGTTCCACTTCCGACGAGGAGGAGACGATCGAAGAGCCTGACACGTCGGACCCAGACCGCAGTAACCTGGAATCATTCGTCAGCAATAACCGGCCCAATCGTCATCGACCGGGTCACAGGGAGCCCTCCGACAAGAAGAAGGCTCACGGTTCTCCAGGACACGGGGATCCCGATGACGGTTATCCCAACTCGCACCGTCCTGATCGCGACCACAAGCGTGCCGACAAGACCTCGCCCAATAACGTTTTCAATTTGAAGCCCGACGAATTGGACGAGACAGAGCCGGACGCGGACGATGGATATTACGATCTTGCCAAGCCCGAACGAGTTGAACCGAGAGAATCCGCCGAGTTCAAACGACCATACGAGAAACCGGGTTTGCAGCCCGACAAATCCGGCGAACAAGGACCCTACAAACGACCCGGCGAACAAGGACCCAACAAACGACCCGGCGAACAAGGACCCAACAAACGACCCGGCGAACAAGGACCCTACAAACGACCCGGCGAACAAGGACCCTACAAACGACCCGGCAAATGGAATCCGTTCGACGACGACAAGGATACGGCGTTGGAGCCATACGATCAGACTGATCCCGAGGACGACGACATCCGACCTGGACGCAAGCCGAGGGTATCCAGAAGAGGCGACATTGATATCCAAAGTCTGGACGAGAAAAGTGAGTGGGATAAGCGACGATTCGTTGAGTTAATTAAACTTCGTCATTTAGACATGTTTTCACGCCCGGCGTTTTTCAGTTTGCCTGACCGACACCAACATCGTGAAAGCCTTGAACGAGCTGATCAACGCCACCAAGAAGATGTGGCGGGAACAGGAGCAAAATGTGAGTATACGCCAAGCGACTTTTTATCATCGCATTCATGTGCAAATGAGCAATTCTCAGAATCTGAATCTATATCATTTCGCGCGTTAAAAGTATCAGTTCGGAACAAAGTTAATCAAACGATAAGTCCTGCATAATAAACTGATAACAGATTTGGAAATTTTCCTCGGGAGTAGAATGTGATAAATATGACAGATGTACGTCATGTTTGTCCTGATTGCAGAAAGAAAGTTTTCCATTTTTTCGGGCGTAAGATCGAAGATGTGAGAACTTGTGACACTCGCGTATCGCGAGACGTTTCCACGAAGAGAGAGAGAGAGAGAGAGAGAGAGAGAGAGACACGCGTGCGACTCGAAAAATCCGCAGCTCATCGGCTGTTATTTTTTACAGACACTGGAAATCCAGCAACTTCGTCGTTTGATCGAAAACTGCGCGGCGTGTCGTGCACCCCTCGGTGAGTGACGTATTGAAAGGACATGTGCTCGAAAATAATAGTTTTCCTTAACATAGAAGTTAGCCAAAGCCACATCATATTTAACGTCGATCGAACGACGACTGTCTGTCGCACCTGCTCTACCGACTTACTTTATCTCACGCGCGTGTTATCCTCCACCTCTCCGTACTATTCTGTACGTGGTAGTTATCAGCGGACAAACAAACCTATTTATATATGCATACGAGTTGTATTAAACAATCTTACAACGTAATAAATGCCTGTTGTTCGAAAAAAATTCGACTTTGTTGTGACTGTTCTTGTTCTCTTGCGTTGCGCAATCGACAGCTTGTACTTTTTGCACATTCGAATATATACATATGAATATATACATTACTTTCAATATGTGAGAACTACCGAGCGCTACTGCGCGATTCGTCTCCCGCAACAATATTTCCGCAACATCGTTCGATGCTAACGTCATTAATTCCTTTGAGCTAATCGCGCAGCTTTCCCCGCAGCAGCAAGTGTGCAATCTTCGATCGTTCTCGCGAAAATGCTTATTTAACATAACTGATGCTTGCATCTTTATATTATTATTACGAGCGGGACATGGATTAAAATCAGAGGCTGATAATAAGATTAGGCTGAACGAAGGCTGCTTTGCACGAGCGCATCATATTTGTTGTTTTATTTCTCGCCGCGTTACTATCTCTACTATCTGCTATCGTAACATATCGAGAATGCCCGCAAAATTCACAACGTCGATTTTCAAGTTAGCACACGCAGATTTCTTTCTTTTAAACACACACACACACACACACACACACACACACACACACACACACACACACACACACACACACACAAAGCAATTAATCTTAAATCAAGAATATACATTTTTATATATAAGCAAAAATATTATTATCTTCTTAGAAGATTTTTAATCTTGATTTAATTGAATTTATATTGATGCAAGTATTACTTGAATTCAATTCAAAAATCTAAGAATTTCATAATATTTTTACTTATATATGAGAATATCTATCCTTGATTTAAGATTATTTTCTTTTTTGTGCACATATATACACACACACATACGTACGCGTATCTCATTTGTACGTGCACACATGACACGCTGGGTCGCTCGAGGATGCGCGTGGGTAACCCGCGTGGGAGACCGAAAAAGCCCTGAAAACATTCAGGCAATTCACTCGTCACGAGCCCGGTAATTCCGCAGTGCAACCGCCGACACGGCCGCCGACGTCCACGTGCGACCATAACTCCCCGTGCTTCCCCGGCGTTGATTGCCGCGATACGTCTAGAGGACCTCAATGCGGCCCGTGTCCACCTGGTTTCACTGGAAACGGACGGGTCTGCACCAAGATCCACATAATCACCTGTATCGACCGGCCGTGCTACCCCGGGGTGCAGTGTTATGATGTCTCCAGCGGTTACAGGTAAAGTCGCATTTCTACGAGATCGACAACAGATCGGAACAGAGATCGATGAAATTTCACGTGTAAATCCTGCTTCCAGATGCGGCGTATGCCCGAGCGGGTACGCGGGCAACGGCGAGAAGTGCGAGAGACGCAGAAACGCGTGTCACTCCCAGCCCTGTCACCCAGAGGTTCAGTGCTACCCTACAGAACATCCACCATATTACAGGTAAATGCGAAACTACTTATTTACCGGGCTTTCTTTGCGTTTAGCCGCGATTGAAGCAAGGTGTTTCTCAATTAGAATACTTTCACCTTAACCCATTTCGGCCCAAATGGCATAATTTTGACGTTCAAGTTTGAATCAATACCCAACAATGAAATCGAGCCAAAAATTTTTTAAAATCACTGTACCCTATGTTTTTGAGGGTGCTCTTTCGAATGGTGATAGTTAGAAATTAAAAAAAATTTGTAAGCATGGAAAAATCGAAAATAAACAAAGAAACGTGTTTTTTCGATCCGATTTTTTGTTAAAAACGATTTTTCGACCTCTGTACATTTTTTATACTTCTCAAACTGGTTTAGATGGTGGAATAATGGTCTAAAATTTGATTTGGTATGGTCAGATGTGCCTTGAAAATTTTTTGGTGAAGCAAAATGGCGACCTAAGTGAGAAATTGTGTTTTTCAACTTGACGAATTTTTTTCTAGAAAACTATATGCTTTGGCGAAAAATTCCTAAGAACAAAAATGTCTTGGAATGAGTCAAGGAACTCTCTCAAAATTTTCCAAAATTTTCTATAACAATTTTTTGATTTTTTGAAAATCCGAAAAATGTACTGCTTCAAACCTTGAGAAAAGAATAACTCAAATATTCCAATGAGTGTGGAACTTTGAATTTTTAATTTTACACTACTAGGCAAGAGAAGTTCATCATTTATATCGTCGATACATAGTTTTTCTCCTTCGTTCCACTCGTACACGTGATCAGGCTCTAGTAATTTCTGCGTTTGAGAGTAATTTTTTAAAACTTTTCTATAACTTATGTTCATTTTGTTTTTATCATTAGAATTAGGGCTTGAAGATTGAACATTCATCTCATCATCNTATATATATATATATTATAAGACAAGTCAGTTGATAATCACATAAGATTAAATATTTGAACGTATTCAATTATATAAATTATAATTTGTTCTTTACAACCATACAAGTAATAGTAGTTAATATGTGTACAGGACTATACTTGAATATTTGCAAAAAATATATAAATATTTATGTATGTATATCAAGCAAAAACTATTGTTTTGGCTAGATTTTAAGACTAGATTTTTTTTCTCGAATTGTATGAACTTTAGCAAAAAATTCCTCAGAACAAAAAAGTCTTAAAATTAGTCAAGGAATCCTCTCAAATTTTTTCAGAATTTTTTGCGGCAGTTTTGGAAAATTGGATTTTCCGGATTTTCAGAAAATCAAAAAATTGTTATAGAAAATTTTGGAAAAATTTGAGAGTGTTCCTTGACTCATTCCAAGACATTTTTGTTCTTAGGCATTTTTCGCCAAAGTCTATAATTTCCTAGAAAAAAATTCGTCAAATTGAAAAACACAATTTCTCATTTAGGCCGCCATTTTGCTTCACCAAAAAATTTTCAAGGCACATCTGACCATACCAAATCAAATTTTAGACCATTATTCCACCATCCAAGCCAGTTTGAGAAGTATAAAAAAATGTACAGAGGTCGAAAAATCGTTTTTAACAAGAAAAATCGGATCGAAAAAACACGTTTCTTTTTTTTATTTTCGATTTTTCCATGCTTAAAAAAGTTTTTTTTTTATTTCTAACTATCACCATTCGAAAGAGCACCCTCAAGAACATAGGATACAGTGATTTAAACAAATTTTTGGCTCGATTTCATTGTTGGGTATTGATTCAAACTTGAACGTCAAAATTATGCCATTTGGGCCGAAACGGGTTAAGGGGACGTCAAGGTTGAGTGACAAACCTGATAAGCGCCGATAACGTAAAGACGATCCTTCAAATGTTGTATTACTTTATAACTTTGCAGAGAGAAATCCGTATTTTTCCGGTAAAATTTTCAACTGTGGCATCTCATTAAGCTAAAGACTCGCTCTTTACAGAATAATATCCTGTGATAAAGCTTTTCTGTTAAATATTAATATGATAGATGTGGTCCTTGCCCGAGAGGATACGTGGGTAACGGCACGACCTGTCTCGACGTGAACGAGTGCGAGATGGCTCACCCGTGCTACCCCGGAGTGCGTTGCATCAATCTCCACCCTGGCTATAGGTGCGACCCGTGCCCAAGGGGTTACCTTGGGTCGTACGTAGAAGGTATCGGCGTCGAAATGGCTCGGAAGCAGAAACAGGTTTGCCGGGACATAAATGAGTGCGAAACTAACAATGGCGGATGCAATCCTTACTCGGAGTGTATCAATACTGAGGTGAGACGTTCGCGAGAAAGTTTCCACTCCGAGTTCAAATACGTCCGAGCGTGCCCGGATGCGCGAGCTTTAAATATTACTCTTGATTCTCGAAGGGATCCTACAGATGCGGTCCATGCAGAAGCGGCTACATCGGTAATCAAACGAGCGGCTGTCATACCAGAAACAACGTCTGCCCAGACTTAATAACGGTCTGCGATGTCAATTCCGATTGCATTCAAGTGTTCGCCCAAGAGTATACTTGTAAAGTAAGTACCACGTGTCTGCACGAGCATGCGCACGCGGACGCGTGTGATACTGAGGAAAAGAAGCGGTTGGATCGAGACAGAATCTCGGCGGCCACCGTCATTCAGAAAAATATTGTGTCTTCTGAACAAACAATTGTGCGTTGGCGTGACGGTACACCGAGAGAAATTATATAATTATTTCTTGCCTTAACTGTATCCTTCCTATGATTTTAACCAAAATAATAGTAACAATATGCATGCACGGTTATTATCACTTATATTATAGCAACATTTACTGGAAAAATGGTTCTCCTGGCTGTAATTTGTTCATTATGATGATTACAGTTACAAATATTTTTTCTCTCTGCATATGTTATATTGATAGTCGCTGACCAAATTGCAATCGTTGAATCAACCATTATAGTGAATGCATAATTTGTTCAAAGGACTAAATGACGTGCTTGAAAAAATTTTGTTGTATTGAACAAAATTTCGATTATACCACTTTATTTTCTCAACTTTGCTGTTCTTTCAGGTCTATTTGACTCGAAATCACTTTTATTTCCCTATTACATTTTTATGTGATTTTATATCATTTGAGTGAGCGTTTTGGCATTTCATGACTTTGTTTCATATCATAAGGACATTAATTTGCAAGTAAGCTATGAAACAGAGTTATAAAATGCCAGATAGAAATTCTCACCACATAGAAATGTAACAGGGAAATAAAGATGATTTCGGGTCGAACAGACCCGAATAGAACAGCGTGATAATCAGTGCTCGATTGAAAGTAGTTCTTGAAATCGCTCTTTCAGCCGCTTCATCTCACTTCTATCTATTATTTGTACCGATTCGATCCGTATCCTTCGTAGTGTCATGTCGGCTGGGCCGGAAACAGCCAGGCTTGCGGCCCCGACACCGATATGGACGGTATTCCCGACAGGAGCCTCAGCTGCCACGATTCTCACTGTCGGGCCGACAACTGTCCGACGACACCCAACAGCGGGCAAGAGGACACCGACGAGGACGGCATAGGCGATGCCTGCGATGAGGATTCCGACAACGACGATGTGCCGGGCGAGATCGACAATTGTCCGTTCATTTATAATCCGGATCAGAGGGACATCGATGGCGACAAGATCGGCGACATGTGCGACAATTGTCCGGTGGTTAATAATCCGAAGCAGTCGGATATCGATGGCGACGGCATTGGCGACGACTGCGACGACGACATGGACGACGACCGTAATTGTTTCACCACCTTAAATAATATATATATATATATATATATATATATAATATTAAGAAGAAAAAAGGAATCTCTCGATTCATCACTTTACGATTATCAATTTATCCGGCTGATTAATTTAATTAATAGCGTTTAAGTTGTAGATCTATAATGCAGTCAGAAAACGATTATTGATAGAAAGTACTTAAGTAAGAAAATTTCTAAAAGAAGTCTTAAAAGAGCCCAAAATATGTCCTATCTTTTTGACAACTTTTAGACATTTTTTAGAAATTTGTTCTGCCTGGATAAAGTTCGTCGACGTCTGTCAACGACATTCTAGTGACTGAGGAGATTGTCCTTTAGGTATCGTGAATCACCAGGACAATTGTCCGAAGGTGAAGAACGCGGATCAAGTCGACACTGACGGCGACAAAATCGGCGATGCCTGTGATAATTGTCGACTCGTGCTGAATTTCGACCAGGCGGATCAGGACGGCGACGGTGTCGGGGATGTTTGCGACAACGACATAGATAAGGATAACGACGGTGTCCAGGACAACTTTGACAACTGTCCCAGCTTGCCGAACCCCGAGCAGAACGACGTTGACCACGATGGTATCGGCGATGAGTGCGACGACGACATCGACAACGACGGTGTGCCGAATGTAATTGACAACTGTCCCTACGTGTACAATCCTGATCAACGCGACATCAATCGTAAGTCGCGTCGTAATCGTAGGTTTCTCCTTTTTGCAAAGAAGGAAACTTAATTCCTGTAACTGAATAGAGACCAAAACGAAAAGTCTCGGTGACAAGAAGTGACGCGCACCGCTTACGTTTTGCATTTCGCACGTAGACGACGGTATCGGCGACGCGTGTTGGAACGACAACGACAACGACACGGTAATCAACATCTACGACAACTGTCCTAACAACAGTCAGATATGGTCGACGGACTTCCGTAAATATAAGACGATCGCTCTCGACCCGATCGGTACTTCGCAGGAAGATCCAGTATGGAGAATTAATCATTACGGCGCGGAGATTCAACAACTCATTAACAGCGACCCTGGCATCGCCATAGGTAAGCTCGTATCACGAACATGATGAGAAAGAGAGAAAGAACCCCCTGTTTCGAATTCTATCTCATTCTCCATGAAGGACCGGACGTATTCAGTGGCGTCGATTACGAAGGCACCTTTTACGTCGACGACGACACTGACGACGATTACGTGGGATTCGTGTTCTCCTACCAGGACAATCGCAGATTCTACGTCGTCGCCTGGAAGCAAAAGGACCAGGTCTACTGGCAGGGCACTCCGTTCCGCGCAATGGCCGATGCCGGGATTACGCTGAGACTTGTCAATTCTGAGACCGGGCCGGGCAAGATGCTTAGAAATAGCCTGTGGCATAACAAGGACACGCCTAAGCAAGTGAAGATTTTATGGAGGGACCCGAAGAAGTACGGCTGGCAAAAGAGGACTTCGTACAGGTGGCATCTGCTCTATAGACCGCAGATCAGCCTGATCAGATTCTGGCTGCACGAAGGCATGCGACTGGTAGCCGACTCCGGAAACATTTACGATTCGACCTACAAGGGCGGCCGACTGGGTGTCTACTGTTTCTCGCAGGAGAAGATCATCTGGTCCGATTTGCTGTACAAATGCACAGGCAAGTGAAACGAGCAACCTCGTTAAGTTGCTTTTGCAAAACGATTAAGTATGTGAGAGCGACTTGAAAATGTTCATTCATTATGATTGAAATTCGTATAGTACACTTTATCTGAGAGACATCCATGCGAACGTCATTAGGGTATAGCACGTTCTCTGGACGTCTTCAGGAGGTAAAAATTGAAAAAATATATATTTTTTCAATTATTATTTGAAGATCGCTGCAAACTTCAACCACATTTCCCTTTCTATTTTTGGTGTACGAGTGGGATTATTGTCAGAAATACAATATGAATTATTGTGAAAATACCAAATAGACACATGTTTTTATACAATTTTCAGAAACCGTGCCACAATCTGTATGGAACGAGTTACCGTCTCACCTGCAGGCGCAGATCCAGGTGAGTGCCAGCAGCTTTGGGCATCCGCAGATAGCACAACAGAGAATGGACGACTATTACTGAAAATCGTTTTCGGCGATCTATTTACGGCATGATAAGAAGAGAACGAGGAAGGGAGTTTAAGTTTTTCTATCTGTAATCCTCTTGCAAGAGTATCGAGAGCCGATTTGCAACCGGTTTAAAGCCGCTACAATCGATTACACCGAAGTAGCGCGCTCGAGCAGCACATTTAAATAAAATTGAAGCTCCGCTAATTCGAAACTATAAAAAAACTTTTGTACATTTTTTTGATAGATTATGTTGATTCTGTAAGAGACATTTAATATTCCAAACGGCGCTCGGATATATTTTTTCTCGTTAACTTATTAATCAATTTCTATTCTATCGGAAATAATTATCCGAACATTATTATCACGGTCTCAGTGTTATTTTAAACCAAACGTACTTACTTTGCGCGGATATTGAAACGAGTGTATAATCACGAAATATCTCAATTAATATATACGTTAATATATACGTTAATATATACGTTAATATATATATATA